ATAATACAGACATGCAAATTCTTTTTTAAAATTTTTTTATGTAGGAGTACTGCCAGACATGCAAATTCTTGAGTTTTGTTTGGGGCCACACCCAGAGGTGCTCAGGGCTTACTCCTGTTTTTTTTTTTTCTTTTTGGGTCACATTCAGCAATGCACAGGGGTTGGTTACTCCTGGCTCATGCACTCAGGAATTACTCCTGGCGGTGCTCAGGGGAGCATATGGGATGCTGGGAATCAAACCTGGTTTGGCCACGTGAAAGGCAAATGCCCTACGCTCTGTACAATTGCTCTAGTCCCTACTCCTGATTTTAAGCTCAGGAATCTGCCCAGGTGGGACTCTGGGGTATTAGGGATTGAACCTAGGTTGGCCGTGGCAAGGTAGGAACCTTCCCTGCTCTACTATCACTCTGGCGCCTAGACATGCAAATGCAGTACACAGTATTGGGTAAGAATATCTCGATACTTTTGGGGGCGGTGTTGACCCATATCTGGCTGTGCTCAGGGATTACTCTTTTTTTTTTTTCGTTTTGGGTCACACCTGGCGATGCACAGGGGTTACTCCTGGCTCTGCACTTAGGAGTCACTCCTGGCAGTGCTTGGGGGACCATATGGGATGCTGGGAATTGAATCCGGGTCAGCCGCTGCCGGGAGCCAAAATGTCAGTACAGCCTGACCTGTAATTTAGGAACTAATCTCTTCTTGGAAAAGTGTTAAAATACGTGGTGTAAGTTTCTGAGCTACGCTGAGATAACTGTCATTGGCCCATCGTTAGGGATCATACTCTGATTCACTTAATATCTGCATGCTTTGTTAATTCCCCATTTTGCCCACTTCCTCATGTAATCAGTTATAAAAAGCTAAAAGGTAAAAGGCAAAGGCCCTCCCGTTGATCGTCGATTTGCTCGAGCGGGCCCAGTAACGTCTCCATTGGAGACTTTGTTGTTACTGTGTCTGGCATATCGAATACTCTCGGTAGCTTGCTGAGCTCTCCGAGAGGGGCGGAGGAATCGAACTCGGGTCGGCCATGTTGGCCGCTTGTAAGGCGAACGCCCTACCCACTGTGCTATCGCTCCAGCCTAGTTTGGGAGAAATAAATTTGGAGCTTGATCAGAGTCTTGTCTTGCTCCCATTCTTCTGTCTTTTTTCCCACTCGCGCACCCTCTCCGGTTATCCACGTTGAATAGTCCCGCGGGTCGGGGCAGGCCACGTGCAAGGCAAATGCCCTACCCGCTGTGCTATAACTCCAGCCCCACCAGGGGTTACTCTTCCTGGCTCTGAATTCAGGAATCACTCTTGGCAGTGCTCGAGGGACCACATGGAATGCCAGTGATTGAACCCGGGCCAGCTGCAGATAAGGCAAATGCCTGACCCACTGTACTATTGTTCCAGCTGTTCGATACTTTTGAAAGAAATCACATCCACATAACTTTTGTTAGAGCAGGTATTATCATTGTATTATTTAATTAGTATTTATTATTCATCTCTGTGACAAAAGTGTCAACTAAACTTTCTCATAAAGGGCTGGAGAGATAGTATAGCAGGTAGGGAGTTTGCCTTGCACGCGGCCCATCTGGGTTCGATTCCCAGGACCCCGTATGGTCCTTTGAGCACCATCAGGAGTGGTTTCTGAGTGCAGAGCCAGGAGTAACCCCTGTGCATTGCCAGGTGTGACCCAAAAAGCAAATAAATGAAAAATAAATAAATAAATAAACTTTCTCATAATTGTGGATATAGGGAAAATAGCACTTTTAGGTTCGATACTGTGTCTGTGATGGCAGGCATTCACTGAGGGTCCTGGAATTATGGCCCTGGAAAAGGCCATTTGTCTTCTTGTGGTGTATAGCACAGTGGGTAGGGTGTTTGCTTTGCAAGCGACCAACATGGCCAACCCGAGTTCGATTCCTCCACCCCTCTCGGAGAGCCCAGCAAGCTACCGAGAGTATCTCACCCACACGGCAAGCCTGGCAAGCTCGCCGTGATGTATTCGATATGCCAAACACAGTAACAATTGTCACGATGGAGACGTTACTGGGCCCGCTGGAGCAAATCGATGAACAACGGGAGGACAGTGACATTGACAGGTGTCAGGAACCAAACCCCAAACCCAGGTCTTGTTACAACCGTGGCCAAAGCTCTGCGGTCCAGCCACCTTCCCAAGTCCTGCAGGGGGCACTATTCAACCAGGAACAAAAATTTGCCAACTGATTCCTGTATGAACAAGATTTGTTTAAGATTTGTGTATAATATGGACACGTAAATTCCGAAGTTTTTAATAGTATATTAAACTTCAATCCTAACAATTTTCATTTCCACATTTGGAATTACAATTGAACCCAGAACCCTCTGTTCAGCTCTTCAATGTGATCAAAGGGCGGGAGCAGGAGGCAGGGATGGGGGGCTTCCCTTGCACGTGGACGAGGTGGGGTGGTTCAATCTCTGGCACCAGGTGTAGTCCCTGAACCCCATCAGGAATCATCCCTGAGTGCAGAACCAGGAGCAAGCCCCATGCACCTCTGGGTGTAATCCCACCAAAAGTTAGAAAATGTTTTATAAAAGTGTGATTACATGGGGCTGGAGCGGTAGCACAGTGGGGAGGGCATTTGCCTTGCACGCGGCTGGCCTGGGTTCGATTCCCAGCATCCCATATGGTCCCATAAGCACCGCCAGGGGTAATTCATAAGTGCAGAGCCAGGAGTAACCCCTGTGCATCACCAGGTGTGACCCAAAAAGCAAAAAAAAAAAAAAAAAAAAAGACTGATTACAGCTTAACCATGTGACCTAATGTTCACCAGGATGTAAAAGGTTTTCCTGTTTCAAAAGTTCTTTTTGTTATTTTATTTTATTTTGGGGCTACATACAGCTGTGCTTAGGAGTTACTCCTGGTTCTGTGCTCAGGTATCATTCCTGGCAGGCTCGGGGAGGATCATGTAGGGTGCTGGGGATAGAACCTGGATCAGCTGAGTACAAGACAGCGCCCTCCTCTCTGTACTATCACTCAGGTCCCTGAAAATTCTTTTGTTTGATGACTCAGAAAAAAAGGGATAGACATAAAAAGATTGCATTCATCTGGGGAACATAAAGTAACAAAATAGGAGACTAACACCCAAGAATGGCCTAGATTAGTACCAGGAATTTTACTCCATGGCTTGGAGGCCAACCACACATGCTAGGGGGAAAGGGAGCTCAGATAAAGAGGGGAACACCAAATAAAGGGTGTTGGGAGGATCCTCCCAGGATGGGCGAAGCATGCTGAAAGTAGACTATAGACCAAACATGATTGTCACCCATTGCCTCTTTTGCAAACTACAACACCCAATAAGAGAGAGAGAACAAAAGGGAATGCCCTGCCACAGAGGCAGGGTGGGATGGGGGGGATGTGGGGTGGGAGGGATACTGGGATCAGTGGTGGTGGAAAATGGGCACTGGTGGAGGGATGGGTACTTGATCATTGTATAACTGAAACCCAAGCACAAAAATTTGTAAGTCTATAACTGTACCTCATGGTGTTTCACTAATAAAAATTTTTTTAAAAATTATTTTATTTGAGGATGGCACCCAGCCTGCTCAGTGTTCAGGGGTCTCTCTAGCTGGTGCCTGAGGGGACTGGGGCGCCACCATTCAGTTAGGGATCGAATCTGGTTCTCCCACCAGCAAAACATGCATGTAGCCTTTGGAGTGATCTTCCTGGCTCCTTAAAAACTCGTGAACAAAATCAAGCAGGGGAATGAAGCTGTGCTTTGGTGGGAGGGTGTAGTCAGGTGGGGAAGACGGTGTGGCTGTCAAGTGCGCATGCACAAGGTACCTGAAGCGTGACACCGCCCGCCAGGTGTGACCCTGAAGCAGGCACCCAGCACTGCTGCACCCGAGCAGTAAAATGTCCAGCCTAAGATAATTTTTAAACACTCAAAAAGATTAATCTAGGTTTAAAAATTTGAATAAACCATACATTCATATTTAATGTAAAATGTCTTATCAAATTAAATTACTTTCAGGTCACAGATCACAGATCACAGATCATCCTGTTATTCGTCGATTGCCTCGAGCAGGCCCCAGTAACGTCTCCTTCATCCTAGCCCTGAGATTATATTCAAGGCTCTTTAGGAGAATGAGACCCATCATTGTTACTGGTATTTGGCATATTGGGTACGCCACGGGGAGTTTGCCAGACTCTGCCGTGTGGGCAGGCTACATTCGGTAGCCTGCCAGTTTGTCAAAGTAGGAATGAGATGTCATAATAAGATGTCGCGCGGCTGCAAATGCGGCCGCGCGGTTCCGGGAGCTGGTTTTTATAGTCTCAGAGTCTTGGCCACTGATGGGATTACACGGTGCCAGGGGGCCAGTTGGTGGGTGTGACCCCCGCCTACTGGAATTTGGAGGATCTGGGTGGAGGATGCTCGACTCCAATCCGAGTAGGCTTGGAGATCTCGGCCCCGAACCCACGTGGCTTTGTCTCTCTGCCGGTACCTTCAGGTGAGCGGAGAGTGGTCTCAGCATGGTGGTGGCTGGTCCTGGAGGTCTTCAGCTGCCGGGGCCCTGGCCAGGGCGGGGAGGAAAGCTCAACCCGCTCCCCTCCAAGGGCCCTGGCGAGGAATAGCCAGGTACGGGGGCAGGAGACTGCCACTTTCAGGTATTATGAAAAAAAAGTTGTCCAGCCTGGAAGGCCAGAGGGTTGTAGGAGGGGCTTTGAGCTCCTGGAGCACAGCTTGGGAGACAACCCCGCCAAAAAGAAGGGACCTATCCAAAGTCTCCCAGATTCCGACTCATCACGTCGGGCCGCACCGAGACCCCCGTTTCCACGTCTCAAGGGCGCTGGCATCGTCCTGGGATTGATTCAACGTGCCCTGAAGGTGCCCCGCTGGCTAAAGCCGGGGGGCTGGACTTTCCCGGGCGCCTGGCTGCGGGGCGGGGCCTCACCTGCTTGTGGGCGGGGCCCCACCTGCGGGGCGGGGGCCCGGCCGCGCCGCCCCTCGAAGGAGCCGCCCGCTGGGCGCCGCCGGGAACTTCGGGGCGTGCGAGCCGCGAGCGGACTCGGCGGGGCGCGGCGCAGCCGAGCGGTCCCGGGAGCCGGCGGAGACCAGGTGGGCGCCGGAAGCGCGAGGCGGGAGCCCTGGGGGCCGCGACGGTGGGGCGGGGGCAGGGGATGAGGGCTGGGCCCCGAGCACCCCTGGGTCCTCCGGCCCGGCGGATGGAGGCGGGCCGGGAGGCCCCTGGACACCCCCCTCTCCACCCCGGGGCTCCCCAGAGTCTGGAGGCCCAGCAGGGACCGCGCCCCCTCCCCGTGCGCAGGTAAACAGGAGCGGGGGACAGGGCGGGGCCTCAGGCCGGGGCCCTTGTGACGGCCCAGCTGGGACGCCAGGAGCGCGCCCGCGGGCTCTGGGTAGTTTGTGTTTGGGGGTCGGCTGACCCTCAGGGCGACCTTCTGCCGGCCTGTGTATGTATGTGTGTGAGATGGGGTGCTGGGGGCATTCAGAGGGGTGATGCCCGGGAGCTCGGGGGTGCGTCAGATGGAGCATGACAGCTCAGGTGTGTGTGTGCTGATGCAGAAGCCCAGGGGTGCGTGTGATTGCAATCGAGCTCCGCTGTGGGCGCGTGCAGGGACGGTCAGGCCCGCCCGTGCATATGTGTGTAGTCTGGTAGCTGCGTGCTTACTTCTGGGCCACAGGTGTCTGTGAAGCCACGGGTGCCACTCAGGTGTGTATGATGGAGACAGATCAGGTGTGTGTGTGTGTGTGTGTGTGTGTGTGTGTGTAGAGAGAGAGAGAGAGAAAGAGAGAGATACTGTGTAGACTGGCGGGGGGGGGGTGATCACTAACGGGGTCCCAGTGTTTGGGATATAAAGTTCAGGTGTGTGTGTGAGAGAGAGAGAGATACAGACAGATAGACAGAGAGATAGAAAGAGACATAGACAGAGAATATTTTTTGTTTGGGGGCCACACCCAGCGATGCTCAGGGTGTGTGTAGCCGAGTAGGTGTGTCTGCGCTGGCTCTGCACTCAGAAATTATTCCTGGCATGCTGGGGGACCATATGGGGTGCCAGAGATTGAACCTGGGTTGACTACAAGCAGGCAAACACCCTACTCACTGTACTATCACTCTAGCCCCAGCCTAATTTACTTTTTTTGTTTGTTTGTTTGGGGACCACCCAGAGATGCTCAGGGTTTACTCCTGGCTCTGCACTTAGGGATCACTCCTGGTGGGGCTCAGGAGACCATATGGGATACCGGGGATCAAACCTGGGTGCCCTTCCTGCTGTACTATTGGGGGGAGAGAGAGAGAGAGAGAGAGAGAGAGAGAGAGAGAGAGGAGAGAACGCGTGAGAGAGCACGAGAAAGCGAGAATGTTGGAGGTTCGTGGTCGTGTGTGCGTGTGTGCTTGGGGCAGGTGTGTGGAGTTGGGGTTGGCTGTGAGTCGGGGCATGGCTGTGAGGGTTCTCCTGTCCGGTTGGGTGAGAGTGAGCACCAGGCAGTGTGGCTGTGACCTGGGGACAGTGGCTGCTTGGGGGGGTGTCTGTCTGTCACCGTATACACCTGACTGGAGTGGCTGCTTGATGGGGGTGGGCTTTTGAGAGGGCTGCCCGTGTGTATTGGGAAACCGCTTGAGCGCTGAGGGGAATCGCTGTTCCTGTGGTGCAGGGGCGCGAGGCCACGCCAAGTGCATGCCTGATGGGGAGGCTGATGGATTTGGGGGATGGTATAACTTGATTGTGAGGCGGGAGATGATGTCGAGAGTGACGCAGCGGGAGAGACTGATTTATGAGCAGTGTAGGTGGGTGTAGGCGGGGGGCCTCTCATGCTCACTCCTTGCCCTCACTGGGCAAATGAACATCGTGGAGTAATTCCCTGTCCCCACCAGGACAGCCCTGAGGAAGGCTTAGAGATGGGTTGGCATCCTTTGGCTGTAAAGTTTTTTCTCTTTGTCTTGGGGGCGTCTGGGCTACAACTGGCAGTGCTCAAGGGCTATTTCTGACTGTGCATGGGAACGACCCCTGGTGGTGCTCAGGACACCATGCAGTGCTGGGGTCTGAACCTGGACAGGATGTATTAGAGTAAGGCGAGCACCTTACCCCCTGTACTGTCACTAGTCTATTTTTTTTAAGCTTTTTTTGCCACACCCAGCAATGTTTAGGGGTTCCTCCTGGCTCTGCACTCAGGAATTACGGGCAGTGCTCAGGGAACTGTATGGGATGCCGAGTATCGAACCTGGTAGGCTGCATGCAAGGCAAACGCCCTCCCCACTGTGCTATGGCTCTGGCCCCTGGGGTCTTATTTATTTATTTATTTATTTATTTTATTAGTGAAACACCATGAGGTACAGTTGTAGACTTACAAATTCTTGTGCTTGGGTTTCTGGGGTCTTATTTTGATGAAGGCACACATCTTGTGTTTTCGACATGGCGTGCTCACACCCGTCGTAACCCGAGTGGGGATTCTGAAACTGTTTCCTCTTGTCACCACGTTTTGCCCCAAAACTGTGGATCTGGGCGCATGCTGCCACAGACACCTCAGAATGCAGTTGATATTTGGTCATTGCCCCATTCAGAAGCTTTCGAGGGGGGCCACATTGTTTGAGCCCACACCCCCACATTCAGTGACTCAACCGCATGGTCACAAGGGGCTACAGTCTCATTTGAACGTGTTTCTTTTGTGATGTCATGGAGCGAGTCCAGGCCCTCAGACATGCCCACGTGTGCTCTGCCACTGAGCCACCACTTCCCTGGCCCTAAACAATAGCATGTACAGAGGGACCCAGACACGGGCCCTGCTCTCTCTCTCTCTCTCTCTCTCTCTCTCTCTCTCTCTCTCTCTCTCTCTCGCAGTCAGTGATTTGCACCACACCTGGGCGTCTCTGAGCATGAGGCTTTTTTTTTTTCCTTTTTGGGTCACACCCGGCGATGCTCAGGGGTTACTTCTGGCTCATGCACTCAGGAATTACTCCTGGTGGTGCTCAGGGGACCATATGGGATGCTGGGAATTGAACCCAGGTCAGCCACATGTAAGACAAATGCCCTACCTGCTGCACTATCACTCTAGCCCCGCATGAGGCATTTCTAAGTGGGGGATGCAGGTTTGGGTCATCCCTGCCAGTGCTCAGGGGCTATTTCTGGCTCTTTTGCACAGGAATCACCCCTTCTGGTGCTCAGGGGACCATGTGTGGTGCTGGGGATCAAACCGGGGTCTGCCACAGGCAAGGCAAGCGCCTTGACCCTTGAACTATCTCTGTTCATGAGCAGATTCTGCTGTACACGGGCCTGAGGGATGGGTATGGGCACCAGGGAACTCCCAGCCTTGGACCCTTCCCCCTTAAGCCCTTCCCACCCACCCCACACCCACCCCCAGTGGAGGAGCCTGAGCTTGGAGCTATTGTCCTGTCTGTGGTAGACACCACGTGGCCGTGTCTAAGCTGCTGCGACTGTGGGGGACTATCCAGCTGCTCCAGCTGTGGGTTGACTGATTTTGAGGAGGTCTGTGAGAATCCTGGGGGCTGGGAGTTTGCAAGAGGCCTGGGCACACATTACTATCGGCCTGTTTGAACATACATGGACAGGACCCATTTCTACAGATGGCCCAGGGGCCTGGCATCATCGCCATGCCAGGCTTTGCCCTCCCAGAGCCAAAGGCCCTGGGAGTTGGGGTGCAGCCCGGGAGGTGAGTGTGATTTGGGGACACCAGAGGTACCAGGGATCAAACCTGGGTCAGCCTTGGGCAAGGTAAATGCCCTACCTGCTGTACTGTTGTTCTGGCCCCTGGGTTCTCTAGTTTTGAAAATAGGGGTCACCTCCATCAGTACATGGGGACTATCATGGTCACAGCTGGTGGCGCTAGGAGAAGTTTGGTGCCAGAGATGGAAACTGGACACTCACACCGGCTGAACATGTGCCCGGCCACTTAAGTCATCCCACTGGACCCTTGAGTTGTTTGTGAGGGGCCAGGGTTGGGGCCACATCTGGCAGTGCTCAGGGGTCACTCCCTAGTGGTTTTGGGGGGATCCTTTGTGGTGAGGGTCATTCATCTAGGGTTGGCTGCATGCAAGATCAGTGCCTTTACCCCTCGACTCTCTCTCCAGCCCTGGAGTTGGTTTGTTTTTATTTTGTTTGGGGACCACACCTGGCAATGCTCAGGTAACTCCTGGCTCTGTGCTCAGAATTTTTTTTCCAGTTTTTTGAGCCACACCCAGTGATGTTCAGGGGTAACTCTTGGCTCTGTGCTCAGAAATTATTCCTGGCAGGGCTCAGGGGACCTTATGGGATGCTGGGGATCAAACCTGGGTCTGCCACGTGCAAGGCAAGTGCCCTACACACTGTACTATCACTCTAGCCTGAGTTGCATTTTTTTTGTATTTTTAATACACACAGACTGTATTTTAACAGTCTGTGTGTATTATTTCTGAGTATGTACTCTATATGGGCTGGAGCGATAGCACAGCGGGCAGGGCATTTGCTTTGCATGCAGCCGACCTGGTCGGCCCATTTCGATTCCTCCGCCCCTCTGGGAGAGCCCAGTAAGCTACCGAGAGTATCTTGCCCGCATGGCAAACCCTGGCAAGCTACCCGTGACGTATTCTATATGCCCAACACAGTAACAACAAATGGAGATGTTACTGGGCCTGCTCGAGCAAATCGATGAACAACGGGAGGACAGTGCAGTACTGTACTCAATATTGTAAGAAAGTGCTCTCTGTGTAAGTGAGTATGTCATATCTAAAAGACAGGATAAGGAGCTGGAGTGATAGTACAGTGGGTCGGCCACTTGCCTTGCATACGGCCGCTCCGGGTTCGATCCCCAGCATCTCATAGTCCACCAGGAGTGACCTGAGTGCAGAGCCAGACATAATCCCTGAGCATTGCCAGGTGTGAACCCAAACCCAAAAATAAATAAATAAAATAAGGGCTGGAGCGATAGCACAGTGGGTAGGACGTTTACCTTGCACACAGCCAACCCGGGTTCGATTCCCAGCATCCCATATGGTCCCCTGAGCACCTCCAGGGGTAATTTCTGAGTGCAGAGCCAGGAGTAACCCCTGTGCGTTGCCGGGTGTGACCCAAAAAGAAAAAAAATCATAAATGGTGGAATAGGAGCTGGAGAGATAGTACAGCAGGTAAGGCACTTGCCTTGCATGCAGCCAACCTGGGTTCAATCCGTGGCACCCAGATGGTCCCCCAAGTTCTATCCAAAGTAATCCCTGAGCTCAGAGCTGAGGTAACCCTGAGCAGCACTGGGTGTGCCCCGAACTGCCCCTCTGCAAAAAAAAGGGGGGGGATGGAGAAATAAAAGAAGACTGGGCGCTGTACTGCTCGGTGGGTTTATTTTCAAATTTTTTAAAAAATTATTTTATTTTTGAATCACCATAAGATACACAGTTACAAAGTTGTTCATGGTTGGGTTTCAGCCATATGATGCTCCAACACGCATCCCTTTACCGTGCATATTTCATGCCACCACCAGTGTCCCCAGTTTCTCTCCCAACTCCAGCCTACCCCTGTGGCAGACACCTCTCTGTCTCTCTGCAGGGTAGAGAGACTAAAGGCTGTCATGCATATTGCTCTGCCTCCCTTCAGACCCAGCTCTTGTCCAGAGCAATCTTTTCCAGCTCTCATCATCACGGTGGCCCTTCTCTGGTCTCACTGACCCCCTGTGACAAACTGCATGGGGGACTTTCTTAGGGAGGACTCCCCAACAGTGCTCAGGGGTTTGAGAACCACTCCATGTGATGCTCTGACCCCAGGTGGATCAGCACTAGCGTCCAGCTAATGCTGGGGGCCCCCAGGCCGATGCTGATAGAGATCAGGGTGTCCTGTGCCCCAGTGCCCAGGTGTCCCCCTGCCCCACCCCCCGCCCAGAGCAGTGGAAGGAGTCTATTAAAAGCCACTGTGTCTTTGGTGTCATCACCCTGTCACCTGAAGCCACAGCTCCGAGGCCCTCCCCACCCATTTCCCATCCGGCCCGAGACCCTCTGTTGTCTTGTGGCCTGTGTGGCACCCACGGACCACACCTGCCTCACGTGTCCCCACTCGCCCTGGGCTGGCCGGGCCTGCTTGCAGCAGAGGGCGGGGCCCCATTTCCCTGGGGGCTCTTGTCTGTCATCTGTCAGCCCTGGGACCGACCTATGGGCACCCCCCTGCACCCACCAGAGCTCCCCCCAACCCTGGGAGGATGCGTCTACCCCCCAGGCCCACTGCCCCTCGCCCCCTGCTCTGGCCCCGCCCCCCACCAGTGGTCCGACTGGTTCCCAGGAAAACACCCAGCACAGGAGTGAGCTCAGAGCTGCCACCCCCACACGCCCCGCCCTCCAGCCCAGCTCACCCAGGTTCTAGGTCAGGGAACCAGGGGTCCTGGGGTGCTGCGGACGGGCCAGGTGAGCTGCTTGGGGCAACTGTTGCCTCCTGTGGGGTCCTTTGAGCCAGCGGGGATGGGAGCAGCCAGCCATGCAGGGGACGGGTGGGGTGGGGTGTTGGCTTTCCCGTCTCCTTTTCAACTGCGGCGGCGGCAGCGGGGACAGCCGGAGGAGGGGGCTCCTGCCGCTTGGCATGAGCGTGGGCATTTCCTGTCATGATCCTGACACCCTGATGCCACCCTCCCCCACACCAGGAGCAGCCATGTCTGTGCAGGTGGCGGCCCCTGGGGCCCCTGAGCGCCTGAGCCCCGAGGAGCTGGTGCGCCAGACCCGGCAGGTGGTCCAGGGCCTGGAGGCACTGCGGGCTGAGCACCACGGCCTGGCAGGGCACCTGGCGGGCGCGCTGACGGGCGCGGAGCTGCTGGAGGAGAAGCAGCAGGTGCTGAGCCACTCGCTGGAGGCCATCGAGCTGGGGCTGGGTGAAGCCCAGGTAGGAGAGTCACCGGTCTCGGGGAGCGGGAATACCGGGAGGGAGCCTGTTGGGCAGAGATTGGGGTATCTGGGCATCACTGGCAATGCTTGTAGAGAACTGAGGGGACTTGGGGACTCCCTGGATGCCTGTGTGGGAACAGAGGGGTCCCTGGGTGCCTCAGCATCCCCAGAGCCAATCTTGGGCACCTCAAGAATTGGGACGGAGGGGCTGAAGCGATAGTACAGTGGGTAGGGTGTTTGCGTTGCATGCAGCCAACCCGGGTTCGATTCCCAGCATCCCATATGGTCCCCTGAACATTGCCAGGAGTAATTCCTGAGTGCAGAGCCAGGAGTAACCCCTTAGCATCGCCTGCTGTGACCCAAAAAGAAAAAAGAAAAAAGGAATTGGGGCAGCCCTGGAGAGAATGGGGGACCCTGGCTTGCCGTGCAGCCCCTTGGGGTGGCCAGTGATCTGTCCGCCCGGCCTCACAGGTGCTGCTGGCCCTCTCAGCCCACATGGGCGCACTGGAGGCCGAGAAGCAGCGGCTGCGGGCTCAGGCCCGGCGCCTGGCCCAGGAGAACGCGTGGTTGAGGGAGGAGCTGGAGGAGACTCAGCGGCGGCTGCAGGCCAGCGAGGAGGCTGTGGCACAGCTGGAGGAGGAGAAGAACCACCTGGTGTTCCTGAGCCAGCTGCAGCAATATGACCCACCCGCCGAGAGCCAGGTGTGTGTGGGGAGGGATTGTCCACTGCCCCTTTCAGGGATGCTTCAGCTTTTCCAGGGGCCAGAGATGGTACAAGGATTCAGGCTCTGTGCTCACAGCTGAGCCCGGTTCATTCCCTAGCTCCATGCCAGAGTCCCCAGTACTGCCAGAGGTGACCCCTGAGCACTACTGGGTGTGGCCCCAACTCCCTCCTGCCCCCAGTAGAAAACATCTTTCCCAGGGCTGGAGTGATAGCACAGTGGGCAGGGCGTTTGCCTTGCATATGGTCGACCCGGGTTCGATTCCTGGCATCCCATGTGGTCCCCCGGGCACCGCCAGGGGTAATTCCTGAGTGCAGGGCCAGGAGTAACCCCTGTGCATCAGCGGGTGTGACCCCCCCAAAAAATCTTTCCTAGGAAAAGGTTCCCTGAAACCCATTTTCACCTGAGAAATGCAAGACAGGCTGGCATTGGAGGAAACAATGTGGATTTGTGCGTGACTGAGTCTGAATTAACTGAGTCTGAATTAACTGAGTCTGAATTAACTGAGTCTGGTCATTACACGCTCATGAACCTTTTTTTTTGGCAGGGCGGGGTGGGTGGGGGAGTCACACCCAGCTGTGCTCAGGGCTTACTCCTGGCTCTGCACTCAGGGATCACTCCTGGCAGGACTCAGTGACCCATATATGGGTGCTGGGGATTGAACCCAGGTCGAATGCATTCAAGGCAAGCGCTCTCCCTACTGTGCTATCATTCCAGCCCATGCTCAGGAACCGCTGACCCTCGCCAGTTTTTGTGCCCCTCACCTCCAATCGTGGGAGCCCCTGTGGGTCACTGATAGTTTAAGAAGTGAGGTCCAAGACCAGAGACCCTTCAGAGGCCCTGATCTTGTGCAGACCCCCCACCCACCCAAGTCCTGTGAGCCCCCAGGCCCTCTCCAAGACCTCCATCACCCCTCAAACAAGTGACCCCCAGCCTCTCCCGTGCTCTGCAGCAGCCTGAGTCCCCCCCTCGCCGAGACAGCCTGGCCTCCCTGTTCCCCAACGAGGAAGAGGAGAGGAGAGGTAGGGGTTCGGAGAGGGGGAGGAGAGGTAGGGGTGCTGGGGGGTGGGGAGAGAGGAGTGGAGACATAGGGTGCGGAGTGGGGGGAGGAGAAATAGGGGTGTGGGGAGGAGAGGTAGGGGTGGGTGCGGGGCGGGGGTGATGGAGCTGAACCCCCATCCCAGTGTGTGCGCCTTCCTGGGGCGCCCCTGCAGGTCCCGAGGCGGCAGGGGCAGCAGCGGCCCAGCAGGGCGGCTACGAGATCCCCGCGCGTCTGCGCACACTGCACAACCTGGTGATCCAGTACGCGGGCCAGGGCCGCTACGAGGTGGCGGTGCCACTCTGCCGCCAGGCCCTCGAGGACCTGGAGCGGAGCTCGGGCCACAACCACCCGGACGTGGCCACCATGCTCAACATCCTGGCGCTGGTGTACCGGTGAGGGCCCGCGGGCCGCCGGCGGCAGGGGCGCAAGCTTAGGGAGGTGTGCCGAGGGGGTGGGACCCCCAGGGACCCCCATACCCTCCTCCCCACAGACCAGGCCTGGCCCAGTCAACCAGGTCCCCGCCCCCATCCGGCCTTGCAGGGACCAGAACAAATACAAAGAAGCCACAGACCTGCTCCACGATGCCCTGCAGATCCGGGAGCAGACGCTGGGCCCCGAGCACCCTGCCGTGAGTTGGGGGGCTCTGGGACAGGCAAAGGGTACTGAGGGCGGCCTGCCGCTGTCTGACACATGTCCCCCCACCCCCCGCAGGTGGCCGCCACCCTCAACAACCTGGCCGTGCTCTATGGGAAGCGGGGGCGCTACCGCGAGGCTGAGCCCCTATGCCAGCGTGCCCTGGAGATCCGGGAAAAGGTGCCCCCCTATCCCGTTTTGTGGGTTCCCCAAACCCCACCCCCAACCCGACCGCCTGACCAGGTCAGGGTGGGTCTTGGATCGCCGTCCCCGCTTTGGTCATGACCCTCCCCTCCGACAGTTCTGGCCGCCACCCCCCACCCCGAGCCCCCCCAGAACACTGGCATTTCGTGCCCCCCAGGTCTTGGGCGCCGAGCACCCGGACGTGGCCAAGCAGCTGAACAACCTGGCGCTGCTGTGCCAGAACCAGGGCAAGTTCGAGGCGGTGGAGCAGCACTACGCACGCGCGCTGAGCATCTACGAGGCCCTGGGTGGGCCCCACGACCCCAACGTGGCCAAGACCAAGAACAACCTGGTGAGGGCGCAGCCCACCCCGCCCAAGGGCGCGAAGTCCAGGAGCTAGAGAAGAGCAGGAAGCTGAGCCGGTGGCACCAGAGACACACTTAGATGTTTATTGGGAGGACCCCCCAGCCCCGCGAGCCCCCCATCTGGGTCTCTCCCTACAGCGTGATTTGAAAGGAGCCGGGGGTGGGAGGGCCAGCGTCCCCACTCCTGCAGAGGAGATGGAAGAGGCACAGAGGTGGTGTTGGGGGGCGGGGGCCCAGGCTGGGGGTCGGGCGCAAGGTCACCATGCCCCCCCCCACTTCTTCTGCAGGCGTCTGCCTACCTGAAACAGAACAAGTACCAGGAGGCAGAGGCGCTGTACAAGGAGATCCTGCGCCGGGAGGACCTGCCCGCCCCTCTGGGTGAGCCCCGCCCCCGCCCCGCCCCCCGCGCTTCTGTATCTCCCCTCCTCCCCGCAACGACCACCCCCTTTCTGTTGTTCCCCAGGGGCCCCCGCGACAGGCACAGCTGGTGTCACAGAGCAGCAGGTGAGGCAGGGCGGGATCGGGGAGCCGAGGGCTGGCGTACGGGGAGTGGGGGGCTGACTGGTGTCCCCCCCAGCCCCTGCGGCGGAGCAGCTCCTTCTCAAAGTTCCGAGAGTCCATCCGGCGCGGGAGCGAGAAGCTGGTGTCGCGACTGCGTGGTGAGGTGGCCGCAGGGGCCGGCGGGTGAGTGCCCTGTTGCAAGGGGGGGGGCGCCGCCCCGGACCCCTGGGGCTTGTGGGGGTCACACACCCAGGCCTCCCCCTGCATTGCAGGATGAAGCGCGCCATGTCGCTGGGCGTGCTGAACACGGACGCCCCGCAGGCTGCTGGCGCCCAGGTGAGGTGCCCCTGGGCTGGTTTGGCCGCTGAGGTGGGAGGGGGAGGGGGGCGGGCCGAGAGCGGGCAATTGACCCTCTCGTGGTCCCCAGTTTTCCAGCCGCCAACTGAGCGAGGCCTCTCGGACCCTCAGCGCCAGCACCCAGGACCTGGGCCCTCGCTGAAGTGCGCAGGACCACACACGGCGCTTCGGGAAGTGATGCGGGGGAAGGGACACGCGTGGCCTTCTGCCTCCCTCCCCACCTCCTGGGGAAGCCCTCCCACCCTGCCTGCTTCTCCCACCACAAAAGACCAATTAAAGGTGTCAGTGGGCAGCTGGGAGCGTGTGCTGGGTGGTCTTCGAGGTCCCGCCACTGGGGGGCGCTACAACTGCTGGGCGATCTGCTCCACCCTCCGGAGTGTCTCCTCCGACTGCAGCTGCTCCAGGCTGAGCAGGGACAGGCCCAGCTGGTCCTCCTGCCGAGGACACGGCAATGTTTGGGGGGAGGGGGGCAGGCCAGGGGAGGCAGAGACCATCCCGCAGACACGCGGACGGGGGCGCTTACCCGGTGGAAGGGCTGCGCCATCTGCCGCAGGAAGTACTTGGCCACCTGCACCCCCTCGTCCACTGTCAGGTTGAGGTTGGCATCGGTGAGATGCTCCTGGATCCAGCGGGGCAGTTTCCCTCGCTTGTCCGCGCGGGCGAACCGCTGGGAGTAGAAAAGCACGTGGGGAGGGAGTGAGGGGTCCCCTGCCCAGGTTCCGGCGTGCGGGAACAGGCAGGGCCCCCACCGCCGAGCCCCTCACCTTATCTGCGAAGACCATGAGCCCGTAGTCTGTCTTGCCCCGGATGGCGCGACCCACACACTGGGCTGCGTGGCGCATGGCGTCGAAGGTTAGGAAGTCATTCTCACGGATCTGAAACTGGTCCCGCAGGTACTCCAGCCGTGCCTGGAGAGGTCCGTGTGTGTTGGGTGGGGGGATAGCCCAGCCACGCCCCTCCCCCACCTTTCTGTGCCCAGTGATCCCATCCCCCACTACTTACCTTGAGAATGCGGCTCTGGGTGTAGACGTAGGGGACACCGAACATGATGACAGCCCGCCCGTAGTGGTGCACTGTGGGCAGAGAAGGCGGTGACGGGGCGGGGGTAGAGGGGTAGGCCAGGATGCTGGGGGGGTGGGGGAAGAGGGGGCAGGCCGGCAGCTCACCGAAGTCTATGCCCTCAGATACTTTGCCACGGGCCACGGAGAGCAGGATGGCCCCACGGCCATTCTCGCAGGCCTGGAGGGGACCCAAGATGTCAATCGCATCACCAGCCTTGGGCCGCGCCCTCCCCCATCCCGCTGCCCCTGCACCCGCGCATGTGCCCACCTCCTGGTACTTCTCCAGCGCCACGCTGGTCTCGGCTCCGTCCTGGGTCTCGATGAAAAGCAGCTTATTCCTCTGGATGTTTTCAAGAATGCCCTGGAGAGCGGAGGTGGGGGGGGGGGGGCACACACAAGAAGTAGTGCTAGTGATGCAGCCACCCATGTCACCCCAATTCGGCCTTAGAGCTCCCCAGCCCAACAAAGAGGGAGGGACGTGGAGCTGATCAGTCTCACCCTCTCAGGCAACCCTAACCAGTGCCCACCAGGCCCCACTTCCAGGAGGGCAGTGATTGGTAGAAAGATGGGGGGGGGGGCGGGCCGTTGACCACGCCCAGGTATGGGAGCAGGCGCGCACCGGCAGGGGGCGCTCTCCTCGGACCATGGCCATGGTGGCTGCCCAACACGCAGACCTCAGATCCCCCCGGCCGTGCAGCAGGAGTTGCAGGAGAATAATTTTAGTCCCGGCCCCCATCTTCCGCCCTGGGGTCAGCCGGGCTCACCCCTCTCCAGTGCTTGCTCTGACACCCCACCCCCGCACCACACCACTTCCCTGCATGAGTTGAGGGCACTCAGGAAACTGGGCAGTAGCCCCCCCCACCCAGTGCCCAGCTGGAGCCCCTTCCAGAAAGCCCCATGACCTCACACACACCTCCAGCAAAGGTCTTCAGCAGCTTTTCAGAACCTTCTACAAGCTTGTCAGCCCTGCTGCCCCGAATCCCCACACCAAGCCCCCTAGGTGCATAAGGGGGACCCCAAAAGAACAGCAAGAGGACCAGAAACCCAGAAGGTGGGGTGCCCCCCTCCCAGAGGTATAGAAGTCGCGAAGGTGTGCGGAGATGAGGGAGGGGCACCCTGTGCGGGGCCAGGGGACGGGCCCTGGTACGCAGCCTACCTGCTCGTACCAGGAGGCCACAGTGCTCTCCATGTACTGGTAGCTAGTGAAGAAGGCCACGATGCCGTCGGGGACCACGGCCGACATCTCCAGCAGGAGGTTCCCATAGTTCCGGATCACCGCTGGGTGGGGTGGGGGTGGGGTCAGGACTTTCTGTCTCACCTGTCTCGAACTTCACGTACTTCCTAAATTCCCTACTAAAGTTGAATCCACACAGCCTCCATTCCCCTTCTCGTCCTGGGGGGGGGACCATGGGCCTTTCACTCCCCTGTGGCAGGCCGAGTCACATGACCAGTCAAAGCTATAGTCAGAAGCCCGTGCAGAATTAGCCAGGAGGCCCCCACTTCCGGCAACAACATGCCCCAGGTTAGGGCCAGGACAGCCCCTGACACCCCTCCATAGCCCGCGCCCTGTTACTTGGAGTGGGTCATCACTGTGACCCCATGGTGACAACCACCCCCTCCAATAACCACTTGCCCCCCCCATGCCCTGGACAGCATACCGATGTCCTCGCGGGTCTCAAACTTGGAGCTGATGGCCACCTGGTCGTTGCCGCGGCCAATGATCTGGAGAGAGCCCAAGAGGTCACCCACCAAAAAGGCTCCAGCCACCCCCGGGGCGCAGTGCCCCCTCCCTCCAGCTTTTATAGATGGCATCTGGGAAGGGCCCCTCACCACCCTGTGAACCATGGCTCAGGGTCAGTGAGTGGCCTGGGCCACACTGCCACAAGGAACAGACTCTGACCAGAGCCTCACCAGAATTCCAGAAAATCGGGTCTTGCCACCTGCAACCTCCTCAAACGGGGTGTGGGGTGGCCCAGGAGCCCTGGCAATTCCAAGGCCACAGGAGACCCAGATGTTCCAGTTTGGCAAAAGCCACTCCAGCAGCCCACCTGCCTGGAGCAGGCAGCTCACACCTGCTTCAGTGGCCCGAGTTTATCACAAATCGACTCTTTAATGGCCACCATGTCCCTGAAGTCTGAAAATATTCCTTCTGTTTTTTTTTGTGGGGAGACGCTGGTGGGAATGGGTGGGATACAGCTATGTGGTGCGGGGAGGGAATCCAGGGTTCCCATAGGCAAAGTGACCCCAGCCCCATGAGTCATCGCCCCACCCCCCAAAGCTTCCACTCTAAAGCACATGGGCTGGCCGGCTGCAGAGGGGCTGGGATGGCACATGCACGGGGCCCACTTTCCAGAGTGACCCCAACCGGGATAATAGCCAGGCCTGAGGTTGGGTCAGGGTACAGCAAGGTGGGGGGACGACCACTTCCCAAAAGCCTGTCAGCTGCCCTCGAAGACAGAAAACTCTCCCAGTTTACAGAGGAGAGACCAGGAGGAGGATGAAGTCTTGAGCCAAGTTTGTGGGAGCTCAAGAGAGGAGGTGGGAACACCCCCAACCCCTCCCAGTGGCCCTGCACACGCACCATGGGGCACAGGCAGACCCGGGCCAGTGTCATGGTGAAGGTCGCCATGGTGACGGGATGAAAGTCCAAGATCTTGGGGTAAATGTCCAGGGGGGACAGCGTCTGAAACGGGGACAGCGGGCGAGGTCTCAGCAGGGCCCGGCGGGCACCAGCTGCCCTGGCAGGGGAGGGGAGCCCCGACGGGACGGTGGGAGCCTCACCCCAGAAGTGATGATGACTGACTGGAAACGTTCAAACACGGGCTTGATGGCCAGCGAGGCGTCCATGCAGCTGTGGGAGCAGAGGGGAGGGTGGGCACCAGGCAGGGTGCTGGACCCCGGGCGTATGTGTGGATAGCTGGCCTCACCTGAAGTGCAGGACCGGGTTGGCGATGGTGGGGGTCCTGTCATCAAAGGGCTCGATAATGATGGTGAAACCTGCGAGGGGGGGGCAGGAACATCCCAAAACCTTCCCCTTTAACACACCTGGTCGGCCACTGGCTCCCCACTGAAACCACAGCAGCTACCACCCAACACACACCACCCAATACGCCCCCCACCGCAGCACGCATGCCGCCTGGGGCTCCCCAGGGCTGGAACACCAAGCCCAGAGCCCCCAACTCTCCTCATCCCACCAATGGGATCCCCACGCCCATGCCTCAAGCCTCCTGCCACCCCCCCTTTCTAAGCCTGAATCCAAGCCAGAGGCCAGCTCCCCTCAAAGACCCCTTCCTTACTCATCCTCCACCTCAATGTGAGACCCCCCACCCCCGAGTCAGGTAACATCCCTCTTTTGCTCTGAAGAAGCTCCCCACAACTCCTCCCAGAGTTCAGAGGTTCGGGGGTGGGGGGTTCACCACCCCCAGCCCATCTCCCTGCTCTGCTTGAGGGCCTCCTGTCTGCCTCCAACACCACTGCATGGACCATTCCTTAGGCAGCTCCATTTGGTCATCAGGGGTCCTCAAAGACCCTCCTGGGGACCCCAGAACCAACACTTGGCCCCCCTGTGGGCAAGTTTCTGCATGGGCAGATCTGTCTCAAGAAAGCCTCTCCTCCCCTCCCTCCCCCCCCCCCTCTCCAAATTGATCCTTTTTCCTCCCCTACTCCTGGTGGGCTGGAGCGATAGCACAGCGGTAGGGCGTTCACCTTACAAGCGGCCAACATGGCCGACCCGAGTTCGATTCCTCCGCCCCTCTCAGAGAGCCCGGCAAGCTACCGAGAGTATCTCGCCCGCACGGCAGAGCCTGGCAAGCTACCCGTGACGTATTCGATATGCCAAACACAGTAACAACAAAGTCTCCAATGGAGACGTTACTGGGCCTGCTCAAGCAAATCGATGATCAACGGGAGGGTCTTTACCTTTACCTTTACTCCTGGTGGGGCTCAGGGGACCATATATGGGTGCCAGGGATCAAACCCAAACCCAGGTCAGCTGATACAGAGCAGGCGCCTTGCCACTGCACTAATCCTGCAGCCCTGGAGTTTGCTACTTCTCTTCCGCTGAAAACAGACAGCCCCAGAGACCAGAACCGGGCAAATGTGCAAACCCACGACCCTGCTCACTTTCACTTAGTGGGGGGAAAAAAAAAAGTCACACATCCTCAGGGTCCGGTCCCATGCAGTAGACATGGCGGGCACTGAGACAATTCTAGCTTGGCTATCACAGTTCAGTGGTGGGGACACTGGGATAGGAGAGGGGAGCCCAGCCGGGGAGTCAGAAGGGGCTGCCTGAAGGAGGTGGCAGTGCTCCAAGAACTGAAGGATAAGGAGGAGGAAGTTGTGAAGGGTGTTCTGAGAGTGACTGGGGTGGCGGAGGGGGAGCAAGGGACACCCCAGGACAGCAGAGGAAGGACAAGGTGGACCAGAGGGATGGAGGAAGAAAGGTGTTTCTAGCCGCCCTTGCAGCAGGAAGGCCTGGGCCAGGGATGGGGTGGGGGGAGATGGGGGAGGGGCAGAGGGCAGGATTTTGTCGTCCTGCGGCTTCGGCCAAGCCTGACCTGGTTTCCTGGATAGAAAAGCGATCCCCAGGGACCAGCCTAGGCCCTGGGCCAGCTTCGAGCCAAGGAGGGAACAAGGAAATCCTGATGGGCCGCAGGGGAGTGGCTCACGGGGCGGGAGTCGGGGTTCCACCCCAGCTCCTTGGTCCCAGGAGTACACTTGGTGGAGCCCTGCTGGTCCCCCACAGCTCTGCATTGCCAGGCCCATGCAGCTGGGGCTCAGGATGGCCAGACGGCCCCCAGAACCCCTGAGCACTGTGCGGGGGGGGGCACCACCCAATTAGAACAACAGTCCTCCCGTTGTTCATCGATTTGCTCGAGCGGGCCCAGTAACGTCTCCATTGGAGACTTTGTTGTTACTGTGTCTGGCATATCGAATACGTCATGGGGAGCTTGCCAGGCTCTGACGTGCGGGCGAGATACTCTCGGTAGCTTGCCGGGCTCTCCGAGAGGGGCGGAGGAATCGAACTCGGGTCGGCCATGTTGGCCCCTCCAGGCCATCTCCCCTCTCCTGGGCAAGTCGGAAATCTGAGTCTCCTTCTTCACCCCTCCCCCCACACTGTGCACACCCCAGAACCCCAGGCTGACCAAAAAGCAAACCTGAGCCTCGTGCACTCACACGGATACATCAAGGGCTCCCCACCACCCAAGCTCCGGGGCCGCCCCTAAGAGCCTGGGGGTTCCCTGGCCCGCACATTGCGCCCAGACCCCCGCATGGGGTCTCCTGCTGCCAGGCTCGGGCCAGCTCACCCTTGGCGTAGGTGCTGACCAGGGTGGCGAAGTTGGCGAGGAGAGTGAGTGGGGAGAAGTCCGCCAGGTCAGCGATCTCCAGCGTGTGCAGCAGGGAACGGAGGCGCTCAGCACAGAATCTGGGGGGGGGGGAGATGGGGGGGGTGGAGGAAAGGAGGCTGAAGATGGCCCAGCAGCACCCTGCTCCACCAGACCCAGCAGGTGCCTCCTGTCTTTTTTTTTTGCTTTTTGGGTCACACCTGGCAACTTGGGTTACTTCTGGCTCTGCACTCAGGAATTACTCCTGGCGGTGCTCAGGGGACCATATGGAATGCTGGGAATCGAACCCGGGTAGGCCACATGCAAGGCAAACGCCCTACCCGCTGTGCTATCTCTCCAGCCCCGGTGCCTCCTGTCTTGGCTGTTGGGGTGTCAAACTCCCTGAGGCCGGTTATTCGGAAAGATTGTCTCACTTGCGTCGCCCCTGGCCCTCACTGCGGCTCTGACCAGGGCCCAGGAGACAGACCAAAGGGCCCCAGCATTTGCTCTGCAAGCAGAAACTCTGGGTGTGACATCCCCAGTCTCCCACGGGCCTGTAAGCCCGGCCGGAAGTGAGAGTCCCCGCCCCCAAATCTCTGATCTGGCGTCGCATGCCACTGCCCGAGTGCGGGCACCCAGGCTCGGCGCCCGGGCCCTGTCCATCGCTCACTCACGCCCCCGGGATGACGGCGCCTCCCGGGCGGGCCCACCTGAGGGGCTTGCGCTGGATGCACACGCGCTGCGCCAGGCTGCTCAGGAAGGCGGGCGGGCTCTCCTGCACCACGTGCTGCACGCGCAGCCGCCACTTAACGAACTCGAGCAGGCGCCGCAGGAAGCCCAGGAAGTGCTCGGCCGTGCGGATAGAGCCGGGCACGGCTTCTGCGGAGAGAGCACGGGGGCGAGGGGGTGGGCATCAGCATCGCGGGCGGTGGCAGGCAAACCGCTGGGCGCCGCGGGCAGGCCAAGGCAGGGCGGCGGGGCTCACCCTGCAGCACCTCGTCGGGCAGCACGGGGTTGGCCAGGTGGGCGTCGGTCTCGCGGGCCACGCTGGCCTCCCGCAGCCCCTCCACCAGGCGCCGGTACTCCTCCCGCAGCCGCTTCTCGTCCGTCTCTTTGATCCTGCGGGAACGCGGGGTTGGGAAGAGTGCAGGGACTCCTGCGGCACGCAGGGTTTCCCTAGGGCCAGTCTGGCCGGGTGGGGGTGGCACCGCCGCCCTGGTCACACCTGAGCACCGTCTTCTGCAACGTCTCCAGGTTGCCCTGGCAGCGGTCGAGGGTCCGGCGGGTGATGTTGACGCTCATGGAGTCGATGCAGACATTATCTGCGGGGGAGGGGGGAGACTCGGTCGGGCTGCCAATGGGGCTGGCACCGCCTTCCCACCCATCCTGGCCCCCTCCTCACCGATGTTGTGAGCCTCATCGAAGACCACCACAGCCTTGCGGGCCAGCTCCTTGGACACCAGGTCTGCGATCTTGGGGTCCAGGAGGTAATGGTAACTGTACACCACCACGTTGGCATGCAGGATCTGGGCGGGCAGGACAGTGTGACCCCCGCTGCTCTGTCCTGGCCCACCTCACTTCGTGTGGGTTCACAAAGGTGAGGTGAGATGGACACAGGTGGGTGGACAGACTGGGGGTAAGGCACCACGGACTGGGATAAGGCACTGACGTCAATCAGCAAAGACACACACCAGGCGCAGGCCAGTTGGAAAGAGGGACGGAGACAAACACGGACCACTTGAGATGCACATGGATACAAGTGTGGACCAATCAGAGAGACGGATACAAGTGCGGGCCAATAGGAAAGATGAACAGATAGAGGTGGGGACCAGTAAGATAAAACAGGCACAGGTGCGAACCAATAGAAGAGGCGGGTGGACAGGCGAGATGGACAGAGAGTAACCATGTAGTGCCACCCACCCGTTCCTCACCGAGTAGCGGGCAAGGAAATATGGGCACCAGCCGTGGCGCTGCCCCAGGGCCTTCAGGTCATCCAGGTTGTAGATGCCAGCAGGGAGGGGCACCTGACGCCCATGGGCATCAAACTCCTACGTGGGATGGGGGAGCACGGGGTCAGAGGGGGTGGGCGCGAGTGCATCTGCCCTCTCTCCACCCACTTGCTCCGCGGGCACCTCGAAGAAGCGGCAGTGGGGCAGGCTGGAGTCCTGCTGGTACTGGGCACGCACGTAGGACGCCGTGAGGCTGTGGCACTTGCCATCCACGTCCTTCCCGAAGCGGAGGGGGGTCACCTGGGGGAGAAGGCGCGGGCCATCTCAGGGACATCTCAGGACCCAGACAGGCTGAACCCGGCACCCGGGGCTCTGAACCACACTTGGCGAATGGGAATCTTCCTGCCCCACCTGGGGGAGACTGGGACATCTGGAACACGGGAACCTCAGTCCACTTTATTCCTGAATAGGGTCTTACTTCAAGAGCCAAGAGTGGTCCAGGGACTGGCCAGAGAGCTCATCAGAGGAGCAAATGCTTTAAATGTGGGATCAGGGCCTGAGTGAGAGTACAGCAAGCAGGGCGCTTGCCTTGCAGGTGGCCAACCCAGGGGCCATCTCCAGCATCCCATGGGGTCTCCTGAGCCTTAGGAGTGATTCCTGAGCACAGAGCTAGGAGTAAGTCCTGAGAACCACTGGGTGTGACCCCAAAACCAAAATAAATAAGTAGGGGCTAGAGCCATAGTAGCAGGTAGGGTGTTTGCCTTGCACACGGTCGACCCACGTTCGATTCCCAGCATCCCATATGGTCCCCTGAGCACCGCCAGGAGTAATTCCTGAGCATTGCGGAGTGTGACCCAAAAAGCAAAAAAATAAATAAAAATAAAAACATATAAACAAGTAAATGAGGATCAGGTTTGATCCCCAGCACCATTTGGTCCCCCAGTCACTCCCAGGCACAGTCAGGGACTGCATCCCTGGTCTCTCTGGAAGAACGGCCCTTTGAACCTTCCCCAGGCTGGGGTGGAGTAGGAAGACTCCCTGGAAGATGTGTCCTTGCCTGGGTGAAGAATAGAGCCAGCATGTGAGAGCTAAGACGGGAACTCTGCATGATCCTGCAGACCAGACCCCCCAGGACTCCTGGACTCATGCTGGGGGAAGGAGCTCTTCCACCCTGGGGGCTGGGGCTCCAAGGAGACGGGGCTCACCTCAGGATGAATACACAGGTTCTTGCGGGAGCTCAGCGCCAGCCCTAAAAATGGCAGCTTCTCGCCCTCCTGCTTCTCATAAAAGTTGATCAACTTGCGCAGTTCTTCAATCACCTGTTCCCAGGAGGAGTTGAATTGGGCCCAGAGCCCTGCCAAGGTCCCCAAGATCCCCCACGCGATAATGGCAAGCACGGGAGGGATGAATTCCGGGGAAAAGGGAGCAGCTCTCGGAGGGGGCCCAGCTCACCTTCTCGATCTCGGGCACAGTTCTTGAGCAGTAGATGAGCTTTGTCACCTCCAGCGGATATGCCTGCAGCCAACAACTGGTTCAGTATTCTTCCTCCCCAGACCGGCCTCCTCCCGGCCTGGCCAGGCCTGCCACTCACCCTCTGGTAAGCCATGATCAGGGCCAGCAGAGACACAGTCTTCCCAGTGCCCGAGGGCATCTCCAGGACTCCATGGCCCTATGTGGTACAGGTGAGATGAGACCCGGACTCTCAGACCCCCAGGGTCCAGGTCCTGGGGATGCACCCCCTGACCCCCAGATGGAATAGAGGAACAACACGATTGTTTATTCTGGGCTCCAGGGGTCGTGTGTTTGAATCCCCCTCCCACCCACACCCCTTCTTTGTTGAATGGTTTTCAGTAAGTGCACCACTGCTCTGGGCTGGAGCACAGCGGGGAGGGTGGCCAACCCGGGTTCAATTCCTCCGTCCCTCTCGGAGAGCCCAGCAAGCTACCAAGAGTATCCCACCCGCACGGCAGAGCCTGGCAAGCTCCCTGTGGCGTATTCAATATGCCAAAGACAGTACAACAAGTCTCACAATGGAGACGTTACTGATGCCCGCTCGAGCAAATCAACGAAGAGCTGGAGAACAGTGCTACAGTGCCCCACTGCTCCGGCCTTAGCCAAGGCTCCATCACTCTGGGCCTGGTGTCCTCATGTCTGAAATGGGCCTAATCCCTATTCCCAGCAAAGGTCAAGGAGCTTAACAAAGCAAGTATAGTGAGGACAGAACCTGACACCTAGCAAGCCCATAGTTGTTTGCTTGTGGGCCATACCCAGAGGTGCTCAGGACTGACTCCTGGCTCTGTGCTCTGGGAACTATCTGGGGTACTGGGGATCAAACCAGGATCAACCGCTGGCAAGGCAAATGCCCTACCGATGCACTATCCTTTCCAGCCCAAGTCCTTATCCTTTTAACTTTGAAAAAAAAAATAGCAAAAGAGTTTGGGGGAGGCTGGAGCAATAGCACAGCAGGTAGGGCATTTGCCTTGCACGCGGCCAACCCAGGTTCAATTCCCAGCATCCCATATGTTCCCCCGAACACCACCAGGAGTAATTCCTGAGTGCATGAGCCAGGAGTAACCCCTATGCAGCACTGGGTGTGACACAAAAAGAAAAAAAAAAAAAAGAGTTTGGGGGATGATCTGGAAAGCTGGTATGCAGGTTCTACATGTTGGGGGGACCCTGGTTCTAGCACCTACACCCAAGGTTACACACACACACACACACACACACACACAGAGAGAGAAAAATGTGGCCAAGATCACAACATTTTATCAAACTCTGACACTTGAGGCCAGAAATAATTGAAAGTGAGATGAAGCGGCCTGGGCATTATAAAATGCTCAGCAGCAGAACCGCCGACTGGATGCCAACAGCACCTATGCCAACCGCGAATGTTTCTAAAAATTGCTCAAAGTTCGCTGTGGGAGGGGGGTGAGGGGTAACCTCGCCCCCTGGCCCTCACTGAGTCAGGCAGCCAGCAAACCCCCTCCTCACTGCTCTGCCGGAACGGGAATGGGGGTCTAAGCGATGCACCCCAGAGGCACTCTTGCTGTGCACCCGGGGTCCCAACTCCACAACCCCCGTTTCCAAAACCCAGGGCAGCTCAGCTCAAACTTCCGCGGCGCCCGGGAGGAAACCCGAGAGTTTCCGAAGGCCAGTAGTCGCTGGGCGGGGCAGCCCCAGGGGGATGGGGGCAGCGGGATGCGGGGCGACGAGGGGGCGCCCACCTTGGCGTCCAGCGTGCGCTTCAGCTCCAGCATGTAGGAGAACTGCTCGGGGTAGATGTAGTCGTACGGGAAGTAAACCAGCAGCCCGTCCACGTTGAGCCTGGCGGCGGGGGCTCAGGGTCAGTCCCCGTGTCCTCAGCCGCTCCCCCGCCACCCCCACTCCGGGGTCATCGGTTCCGGCCGGCCCGCAAGTCCGCCCGCGTCTCCCCCAGCCTCCCCCGGAGCCTCCAGGTCCTCGCGGCATCTCCCCGCTGCCCAGCCCAAACTTCCCTGCCGCTACGCTTCCTCCCGACCTCTTCGGGCTCCCGCAGCCTGGCTCGGGTCCCAGGCACGGCCTTGGCCTCCCACCCCATCTCTGATAGTCCCGTCGCCCGCTGGCCAGCAGCGACCCCCAGTAGCCCGCTCACTTCATGGCGCCGGCCTCGGCGTGCGGCGGCGGCGGCAGCGGCGGCGGCGGCACGCCTCCTTCATGAATATTCAGTAGGAGGGCTGGCACGGGGGTGGGAGCCTGCGTAGGACGGACGCGAAGTCATTGGCTGCTCACGGACGTCACTCCGGAGGGGCGGGGTCAGGCGGGGTAGCGCGCGTGCGCACCAGAACGCGAAGGCGGGCTCCCCGGAGAGAGGCGGTGACCAAGACGTTGAGGATGGCCGAGTACCAGGAACAAAACTTGGGAGGAGGAGAACCGAGAGAATCGATCTCATTCATTAGGCGTCTGTCTTCCTCCTTTATAAAGTTAAGGGGAAAATGTCCGGGAATTGGGGGCCAGTTAGGAATAGTTTCACTACAACAGAGAGTACACACTTATAAAACTGCTTGTAGCTGACCAGGGTCCGATCCTCGGTATCCCATAGGGTCTCCCAAGCACCGCCAGGAGTGATCCCTGAGCACAAGTGTCAGGAGCAAGCCCTGAGCTCTGCTGGGTGTGGCCCCCAACCAAACAACAACAAAATAATAATAAAAATAATAATGCAGGGGTTGGAGCAATAGCACAGCGGGTAGGGCGTTTGCCTTGCATGCAGCCAACCCAGGTTCGATTCCCAACATCCCATATGGTCCCCCCCCTGAGTACTGCCAGGAGTAACTCCTGAGTGCAGAGCCACCCTGTGCATTGCCGGGTGTGACCCAAAAAGCTAAAAAAATTAATAAATAAAAATATATAATAAAATAATAATGCAATCAATGAAATAGGGGCAGAGAGATAGTACAATGTGCAGGGCACTTTATTGTATGTGGCTCACCTAGGTTCAACCCTCCCCAGCAACCTCCACTGACCCCGCCCCTCACAGCCCAGTCCGTTTAGTCCCTTGAACTTGCCAGGAGTCATTCTTGCTGGAGTGATTTCTAAGCAGAGCCAAGAGTAATCCTTAGCAACCACTGGGGTGTGGTCCAACCCCCACCCCCAATTTAAAAAGAAATAAAAATAAAATTCCTGAGAAAAAAATTTTATTTATTGAGCTAAGGGGACAGCGCAAAGGACTGGAGCATTGCTCTCACTAGGCCCCAAGTTGAAGGGCCAAAGAGACAGTACGGTGGGTAAGGTGCTTGCATCTGGCAGACCTGGTTTTATTCCCGAGCATCCCATATTGTTCCCCTAGTACATCCGGGAGTGATCCCTGAGCACAGAGCAAGGAGTAAGAGCCCCAAGCACTGCTGGATGTGGCTCAAAAATGGAACAAAGCAAATTTTTTGGTGATTTTTTTTTTTGCTTTGTCTCTGTTCTTTGTTCTTTTGTTTGTGGGCCATACCCAGTGATACTCAGCAGTTACTCGCGCAAGGTAAGTGCCCTATCCACTGTACTATCGCTCCAGCCCCTTGTCTGTTTTTTAAGTCATGCTTAGTAGCCAGGAGGTACTTCTGACTCTGTGCTCAGTGATCGCTCCTGCCTGTGCTCAGGTGACCATGTGGTACCAGGGATCTAACCTAGGGCTCCTACATGCAGAACTGAAGCCATCTCCCTGGTTCAAGTTCAAGACACACTTGAATTAATTGGACCCTACTTCTAAGACAGGAAAGTATCCTCTGGTGGTTCCTGCAAGGTTACATGGTCTCTGGGGAAGATGGTGAAGGTCTTTTTTTGTTGTTTTTGGCTTTTGGAGTCACACCCAGCGATGCTTAGGGGTTACTCCTGACTCAGCACTCAGGAATTACTCCTGACAGTGCTGGGGGGTCCCTATGGGACACTGGGGATGGAATCCAGTTCGGCTGTATATAAGGCAAATGCCCTACCCACTGAACTATCTCTCAGACCCTTCAATTTCTTTTTTTGGGGAGGGGGCAGTGGGGAGGGACACACCTAGTGATGCTAAGGGTTACTCTAGGTGCAGCACTCAGAAATCACTCTTGGCAATGCTCAAGGAACCATATGGGATGCCAGGAATCAAACCCGGGTCAGCCTCATGCAAGGCAAATGCCCTACCCACTATATGAGCACTCCAACCCAGGGTCAATCAATTTCAGTGTGAAAAACAGAACAAATTTGAGACAAAGACAGAATTTGACAGGGTTTAAGGGCACATGCATGAAAACAGACCTTACCTACTCCTGAGCGTGGAGTGGGGAAGCAGGTCCTCCTCCTGATTCACACCCAGATTATCAGGAGCTCAGGTTAGCACTGTCTGTAGCACTGTCCTCCCGTTGTTCATTGATTTGCTCTAGGGGGCCCAGTAACGTCTCCATTTTGAGACTTGTTACTGTGTTTGGCATATTGAATACATCACGGGTATCTTGCCAGGCTTTGCTGTGCGGGCGAGGTACTCTCGGTAGCTTGCTGGGCTCTCCGAGAGGGATGAAGAAATCGAACCTGGCTAGGCCAGGATGGGTGCGCGCAAGGCAAACGCTCTACCGCTGTGCTATCGCCCTCTACGTGGGCCGCATGTAGCACATGGCCCGCCACAGCTCCGTCAGTAAGGAGCAGGTGTGCAGATCCTGGGCCCCGGGGGCTGCGGCGGGGCTCAGGTTAATGAGGCCAAAATCCCATCTTTCTTGGGGCAAATTAAAATAATTAATTTTATTTGATATAAAGGGGAGAGTTAGGTTGGCAGGCTGAGCCCAAACTAGGGGCCAGATAAATAGTAGAGTGGGTAAGGTGCTTGCCCAGGCCATATGGCTGGCTTGGGTTTGATCCCTGGCATCCCATGTGGTCCCCTGAGCCCCACCAGGAGTAATTTCCAAGTGCAGAGCCAGGAGTAAGCCCTGAGCATTGCCGGGTGGCACAAAAACAAAAATCAGTGAGCTCAGGCACTGCATACCGAAGGAAGGCCCAGGTTTGGTCCTTAGCATTATCAGCCCCTTGTCCAGCACCACCACCACCACCAGGAGGGCCTCCCTAATACTGAGCCAAAAATGGCCCTCATCACTTCTGGGTGTGCCCCAGACTCCCAAAAAACACTTGGGAGAGAGGGTATTAGTACCAGGGCTGAGGGACATACTTTACCTGCTCCTGAGTCAGGCACCACCTGATCGCTTGAACATCTCCAGGTGTGTCCCTGAAGCCCCTGAGTGGGCCAGAGTGCCCCTGGTGGTCACTTGTGTGCAAAGCATCCCTGAGTCCTTGAGCCCTACCACTGAACTGCAGCTAGAGGATAGAGGCCAGAGAGAGCTAGTACAGTGGCTGGGGCACTAGCTTTGCACGCAGCCAACCCAGGTTAAATCTCTGGCATCCTGTGTGGTTCTTGGTGCACTACTGGGAGAGATTTCTGAATGCAGAGCCAGGAGCAACCCCTGACCGTCGCTGGGTGTGACCCCCAAACAAAATAAAACCAAAACCAATAGGCTGAGGATTACTTGGGAGGCAAAAACGAAAAAATCAGCCTGTGACAGAAGTCCCCAAGAGGATAGCCTGTCATTGTCATTTATCATACAATTGGGGATACAGGCAATAATATACTCCCCCAGTAGACTAGAGGGGTGCACTGTGTTTTATTTCAGGTCATGCCCATGTCAGGGGACTACTCCCAGCTCAAAGCTTAGGGATTGCTCCCTGTGGAGCTCAGGAAACTTGCAGTGCTGAAGATCAAATCTGAGTCTCTAGGGACTGGAGTGATGATACAGTGAGTAAGCCAACCAGGTTCAATCCCCAGCATCCCGTACCCCTCAGCACCACCAGGAGTAACCCCAAAGCATCTCCAGGGATGGACCAAAAACAAACAAACAAACAAAATATATATGAGTCTAGGGGCTGGAGTGATAGCACAGCAGGTAGGGCGTTTGCCTTGCATGCGGTTGACCCGTGTTCAGTTCCCAGCATCCCATATGGTCCCCCTGAGCATCGCCAGGAGTGATTCCTGAGTGAGGAGCCAGGAGTAACTTCCGCACATTGCCGAATGTGACCCCCCCCCAAAAAAAAATGAGTGTCCTAGAAGCTAAGCCTGGGCTCTAATCCATGAATCTATCACGCTGGACCTGTAGAACTAGGAATCTCTGACTGAGTCTCTGAGACTGTAGAGCAGTGTGGGTGGGCATGGAGCCCTAGGGGAAGATACAGCGTGGGAGAAGCTTGGTCCAGATTCCCATAGCTTCACCACCGGATGGAGCAGCGGGCACATAATGGGAGGGTTGTTTGTCAATCTGTGTGACACCTTTTTGCAACCCAGCTCATCTCGCTTGATTTACTTGTTCATGTTTGTTCTTGGGACACACTTACCCTTTCTAAGAGTGGACATTGCTTGGAGTTCTGTGCTGGGGTCACTCCCTGATCCCTCATTGGACTATGTGGTTCCAGGCACCAAAGATGACTTTTTTTGGGGGGGTGGGGTCACACCCGGTGATGCAAAAGGATTACTGTTGGCTTTTGCACTCAGGAGTTACTCCTGGTGGTGTTCAAGGGACCATATGGGATGCTGGGAATTAAACATGGGTCGGCTGCATGCAAGGCAAACGCCCTACCTGCTGTACTATCTCTCCAGCCCCGAAAGATGCCTCTTATATGCAAAGTTTGTTCTCAACTCATTGAGCTGTCTCCACATTATGTATCCTCTGGGCCATATTCTGATCATGTTTTTTTGTTTTTATTTGCATATTTATTTCTGTGTGTGTTTTGGGGGGACCACAGACAATGGTGTTCAGGACTTATTCCTGTCTCTGTACTCAGGGATGACTCCTGGCAGGTTTAGGGGTCCATATGGGGTGCCAAGGATCAAACCCAGGTTGGTTGAGTACAAGGCAAATGTCCTGTCTGCTCTGGGTCATTGTTTTGGTTTTTGAGCCACACCTGGCAGTGTTGAGGGCCACGCCCAGCAATGCTCAGGGGTTACTCCTGATTCTGCACTCAGGAATTATTCCTGGAAGTGCTCAGGGGACCCTATGAGATAAGAAGGATTGAGCCCAGGTCTGTCACTAGGCAAGCACCCTCCTGCTATACTATCACTCGGGCCCTTCTTTGAATTTCATTCTGACTAAGTCCGTGGTGGGGCCTGAGAGGGAGGTATACAGGGACCATGCACTTACCGCCCTCTGGATGGCAATCCCTGGCACCTCCTGGTAGCCCCCCAAGCACTGCTGGGCGTGGCTCCAAAGTTCAAAAGTTAAAATAAGCCAGCAACTATCATTGTTTCTATCCTTGCCAAAGTCATCTGCAAAAATAGTCCCTTTGCAGGGCTGGAGAGATAGTACAGCAGATAGAGTACTTGCCGTGCATGGAACCGATTCAGGTTTGATTTCTGGCGTGTCATATGGCCCACTGAGCACCGACAGGAGTGATCCCTGAGCACAGAGCCAGGAGTAACCCCAGACCATCTCCAGTGTAGCCCCCAAACAAAACAAACAAAATTTACAAAAATGGTCTCTTGGGGCCAGAGCAATAGCACAGTGGGTAGGGCATTCGCCTTGCACGCGGCTAACCCGGGTTGGATCCCTGGCATTCCATATGGTCCCCCAAGCGCCGCCAGGTGTAATTCCTGAGTGCAAAGCCAGGAGTAACCCCTGAGTATTGCTGGTGTGACCCAAAATGCAAAAAAAAAAAAAAAAACCCCATAAAAACAAAAAACCAATAATGGTCTCTTTGGAGCTACTTGTCTACATATATTTGGGGGTTTTTTTTGTGTTTTTTTTTTTTTTTGGTCACACCTGGCGATACACATTGATTGCTCCTGGCTCTGCACTCAGAAATTACTCCTGGCGGTGCTCGAGGGACCATATCCATATGGGATGCTGGGAATCGAACCAGGGTCGGCCGCATGCAAGGCAAACGCCCTACCCACTGTGCTATCGCTCCAGCCCCTCTACATACATTTGTAATCCTTCCTCGTTCAATCTGCTTTTTCATTGTTGCTTTTTGCTGTGGTGCAAAGGACGGACGAATGCTGTTCTGGCGGGTGGTCACCAACCCAGCTGCAGTGACCTGAGGGTCCTCTTGGTGCATTTGGGACCAAACTCTGTCCCCCTGGCCAGCCAACAGCAATGGATGAACGAAGGAATGGGGGCCACAAAGCTGATTGGTAATCAGTGACCGTTGTATTCAAGTCTCACAGAGTTAGTTATATCCTGAAGGGTTAGGGGTAGCAATTACACATAGGTGTGGTACAACATTATCATAAATAATGAACAGCAGTAAAGCCCTTCCTTCAGGGGAAACTCTTCTAGGAGATACTCAAGGACAAAATCTCATCTAAGTGCTCAGCACTCTGGGTTCCTGCTAGGAGATTCGCCCAAGGGTGGAATTCTGTCTAAGGGCGTATGACTTTCTCCTTTCCTTAGCCAGTATCCATTTAAGCAGCCATATTAAATTTACTTCTTAATAATATTTCTAGTCATTTTGTATGGACACAGTAAGAGATATATTAAGCTCATGGGGGTGGTTCTTCCTGGGGACATATCGCTATATATCCCAGACTACAGTCCTCAGGCCAGGTTAGTCTTTTCTAATCCCAACAGGGTCCTTATTCAGTTTCTTCTTTTCGGTCATGTCAGAGTTTGCTCCGTGACCATGCTCTTAACTTATTATATTTCTTATGGCCCTTAGCCTGAACTTTTTTGATGCCAGGGTAGCTTACTGCTTGCCCTGGGTCCATCCAAGTCCCTCGCCGGGACCCTCCTTTTGGGGATGTTAGGAAGTAACGGCAACTGAGGCTTAACTCAAGTAAATATGATGAATGTCCAGGAGTAAATATTATTCAGAGTCAATTAACTCCTATGTTACAAAAGCATAGCATTCACTGTCTTCCTGTGTCTATACAAAAAGGATATTGCACTAAAATAAACAATGCAAAGGACATAAAGGAAACAGAAAAGCAACATTTCACTTACGTATACAATATCTAGAGCCCTCAGAAGAATTTGACTTTACAAATTACAGCGTCTGATTTGGGGATATTTGTGACTGACAAGGGAAGAAGAGCACAAAGGGGAGGTTAAAGAGAGATACAGAGGACTGGGAGTGCCTGGTGGGATTGAGTGTGCCTCGGGAGCACTGTGCTGGCAATAACTCAACAAACCTAAGCTCCCTTCAAGAGGAGCAAGGACCAACCAATGTCACATCTTAAAATGCTTAGAACTATAATCCAACAGCAGACAATGAAACCAGGGTCTCCCCCACATGAGCATGTGCTCTCCAGTTCTCGTCCTTTCAAATACAACTGCTTGTTTGTTGTCGTTACCATGTCTTGATAACATGGAATGGGAAGAAATGGGAGTGAAGATAGACGGCCAACAAGTACACCTCCTCCGCTTTGCTGATGACATCATTCTAATAACACCAAACATTAGCCAAGCGGCACAAATGCTGGCCGACTTTGACTGTGAGTGTGGAAAGGTCAGACTGCAGCTGAATCTCACCAAGACAATGATCATGAAAAACGAACTAATCCCTGACGTTCCATTTGCTCTCAACAGAACAAACATCTCCGAATGCAGCAGCTATGTGTACCCGAGTCGAGAACTCAACATGAGGAACAACTTGGCACCAGAACTGCTCAGGAGGAAGAGAGCAGCATGGAGCGCCTTCAAGAACGTCCAATAAGTTGTTAAGAGGACGAAGAATCTCCAGCTCCGAGCACATCTTTTTGACTCTACCGTTCTTCCTGGGCTAACATATACCTCAGAGACCTGGGGTCTACGAAAACAGGAAGAGAATGCTATTCGGGTATCCCAGTGAGGAACTGAAAGAGCTATGCTTGGAGTATCACGCTTCACTCAAGTGAGAGAAGGAATCCGGAGTTCCGACCTTTGTCGACAATCAAGATTCAGGGATGCGGGGCTGGAGCAATAGCACAGCAGGTAGGGCGTTTGCCTTGCACGCAGCTGACCCGGGTTTGATTCCCAACATCCCCATATGATCCCTTGAGCACCGCCAGGAGTAATTCCTGAGTCAAGAGCCAGGAGTAACCCCTGTGCATCGCCTGGTGTGACCCAAAAAGAAAAAAAAAAGGAAAGAATAAAGAATCAGGGACGCTGTCTTGTTTGCCAAGGCGTCGAAAATCAGATGGGCCGGACATGTAATGCGATTCAGAGAAGACCGCTGGACTAGAGCTGTTACCGACTGGATTCCACGGGGACGCCAAAAGGCCGCCACCTACGAGATGGTCAGACTTCTTCGTCAAAACCCTGAACAAAGAGTTCAAGGCTCTTTGTGTTCCTGGAGCGAGCAGATGCCATTGGGCTACACTAGCACTAGACAGGGACAAATGAAAACATTACTGGCACCTACTTGAGCAATGGGATGACAAGTGATACAAGTGATACCATGTCTTCATGTTTTTTCATGCTTTGGAATCTCCTTTGATGTCTTTTTTCAACTTTTTTGGCTTTCTGTGTCACACCTGGCAATGCTCAGAGATTATTCCTGGCTCTGCACTCAGGAATTACTCCTTGCAGTGCTTGAGGGACCATATGGGATGCTGGGGATCGAACTCAGGGGGGCCATGTCCAAGGCAAATGCCCTCCCCACTGTACTGTCACTCCAGCCCCCTCCTTTGATGCCTTAAGAATTTTACTTTTCGGGCCAGAGCCATAATACAGAGGCTTTGGTGCTTGCCTTGCACCATTTGACTTGGGTTCAAATCCTGATGTCCCATATTGTTCTTGGAGCATGACCAAGAGTAATTCCTGAGTGCAGAGCCAGGAGTAATCCCTGGGCATTGCTGGGTGTCACCCAAAAAGGCAAAAGTAAATAAGAATTAAAAAACATTTTTTTTAAAGTTAAATAAGAAATTTTTCTTGGTTTTGGAGCCTTAGCTAGCTCTATGCTCAGGGCTCACCCTGAGTAGTTCTTGGGGAACCCTACACTGTGCCAGAGATCAAGCCCCGGTGCCTGTATGCAAGGCAACCTTACTTGCTGTACCACCTCTCGGGTCCTAGGTCCTTAAGCTTTTGTTTTTGTTGCTTTGTTTCTTGGGCCATATTCAGCGATGGTTAGGGCTTATTTATGGTCAGTGATCCCTGACCATACTGAGCAATGGTCAGGGCTCACTTCTGGTGGGGCTCAGGGACGATATGGGGTACTCGGGGAACCATATGGGATGCTGGGGGATTGAATCCAGTTGTCTGCATGCCAGGCAAGCGCCCTACCCACTGGACTATTCCTCCAGCCCTAACATGTGTCTACATTATTAAATTGATTTACAGAATAACAAGGGCTGGAGCGATAGCACAGTGGTAGGGCGTTCGCCTTACAAGCGGCCAACATGGCCGCCCCGAGTTCGATTCCTCCGCCCCTCTCAGAGAGCCCGGCAAGCTACCGAGAGTATTCGATATGCCAGACACAGTAACAACAAAAGTCTCCAATGGAGACGTTACTGGGCCCGCTCGAGCAAATCGACGATCAACGGGAGGGCCTTTACTTTACAGAATAACAACAAAGAACAGAATCCAAAGAGGAGGGCAGGCGTCCACTTTTGTGCAAACTACCTTTATTTATAAAGAAAAAGTTGCATTTTGTTACAAAATCAGCACGACATGAAGGCACACTGATTGGCTGGAGGTGGGGACCGAGCCCTCCAGGAAGAGATGAATATACTCCCACCCCTCCCCTCCCTACCAGGCTTGGCTGGGAGGTTGGGGACTAGCTGGCTGGGGTGGGGAGAATTTGGCAGAGGGGGGGTCAGGAAGGGGTTGTCAATATGAGTGGGAGGCACTTAGGTTGGGATTTGATTGGCAAACGGGAGAAGGGAGTCTTCTGCCCCCATCCCCACGATTCCCCGCACCTCCAATATCCCCCACGACTAAGGCAGGTTCCTAAATTTTAGGCTGCGGTTCTCCTCCTCAGAACCTCTGTGGGCGCAGGGAGCAGGCGGCCAGGACCCAGCCCTGTGGCGGGTTGGGGTGCAGGGAGGCGCGGCAGCCCCTGGAGCATCAGTGATACGCCAGGCTGCTTCCTCCTGTCTCCGCTGGAAACGGTTCTCTCTGCTTACACCTTACTCCTTGGGGCCTTCACTCTGGGGAACAGCTGCGGGAAGACAGAAGCGTCAGACGCCAGGGGCTCCCCTCCTCTCATTCCACCCCCCTCCCTTCGCCCATAGGGATTACTTCCGGCTCAGTGTCACTCCTGGCTATACCTAGGGGATCTTGCAGTGATCAAACTTGCATCTCCCGCATCAAAGCATGTGCCCCAGCCCATGGAGCCATTTAGCAGGCCAATAAATAATATGATTATTATTTCTTTTTTTGGGGGGAAATCATACCCGGTGGTGCTCAGGAGTCAATACTGGCTCCACACTCAGGAATCACTCCCAGTGATGCTCAGGGGACTATATGGAGTGCCAGGGATTGAACCTGGGTTGGCCCCATGCAAGGCAAGCACACTTCCCGTTGTATATTGGCTCTGACCCATTAACCAATCTTTAGAGCTGGAGAGATTGCACAGAGTTAAGGAGCTTGTCTTGGGTTTCAATGACCCCTGTTCAACCCAGGCAGCACATATAGGCCCCAGAGAACCATCAGGGGTCACTCCTGATCATAGAGAGAAATTGCCCCTGGGCAGCACAGGGGGTGGTCCCCCAGGCCCCCTAAAAAACAAACAGTGCTTTAACTCCCCCTTGCTAAAACAGAATTCTTTCTTACTCCCACTAAAATTGATTCTTTTTGTTTTTGGGGGTCACATCTGTCTATGTTCAGGGCTTACTCTTGTGTGCTCGGGGATTACTGAGCTCTGTGCTCAGGGATTACTCCTGGAGCGGCTCAGGGGACCCTAAGGGAGCCAGGATTGAATCTGGGTCAACCACATGCAAGGCAAAGCACCTTACCCTCGGTACTACAACTCCAGTCCCAACAGATTCTGCTTTAACTTCTCCAGTAGTGTAATTGGAGAGATACACATCACCCAATCCAACACCCAGGCAGGTAATATTGGTGAGCACCCAAGGGTTACCATGAAGCAATTCTCCCAGGGGAGACAGAGCTGAATGGGATGAACATATGATTCGCAAGAGGGAAGCCCTGGTTGCATCCCTGGCATCGCATGGTCCCCAGAACATTTAGGGGAGCTCTGACCTCCTCTTGTTCTCCCAGAAGAAGAGGGTCCCTCCCCATCCCACACCCCTGCAGGACCATCTCCCATCTCATCCCCCCTCGAGGCCATCACGTGATCTGCCGGCTCACCCCAAAGTAGTTGCGGGGCACGTAGCCCTCCTGGCCATGCAGGGAGGCCCACCACCAGTCTGTCTCCTCCGGCCCGTCCCTCCGCAGCACGGTGACCGACTCGCCCTCGCGGAAGGACAGCTCGTCCCCGAACTCGGCGCTGTAGTCCCACAGGGCATACACCGCCCCGTTGTGCATGAGCCCCATGCTCTGCTCCACGTCTGCAACGAGCCAGTGACCACCCGTGATCTCCCGGCACGGGGCACGCAGGGACCCGCCCCGGGACCTGGCTCCGGCCTGAGAAGTGGTGGGTGCCCCAGTTTGGGCCGGGCAGCCTCCAGCATCGGGGATAATTGGGGTGCACCAAGACGGGGGAGGGGTCCATTCACTCCTGTGCATGAGTGACTCTCCTAGGTGGTCCCCGCTCCCACGTAGTCAATACCGTCATCAGAGGGCACAGGTCCCCCACTACACCCTTCCAGCTGCCCCATCTCCCCCTTTCCGGATCCTCCCTTTTTAAGTAATAAAGCTTCCCCCAGAGGCTTTTGCGGGATCCAGGATTTCCCCCCTTTGTCCCCCTTGAATAGTTCAGTCCGCTCAGTTCCTTCTTGCCCCCCACTTCCGGTCAGGTGTGTTTCCCCCCCCCATCTCCACGCCCTCCCACCTGGCCTCACCCCCTAGACGGAGCAGCTCACGGGCGCCACCTACCGGCAACAAGGTGTCAGGGCGCCAACACCTCCCTGGCGCCCCAGACTTCCTACGGTGGCTCCTAAACTCCCTCCGCAGCCCGGTTCTGGGGCAGGCAGGTGCTAGAAGGCCAGGTTCTCACCCCCTTTCCACCAAAGGAAGCGCCCCGCTAGGCTCACCCCCCCACACACACACCCTGTCCCATCCCGGCTCTACAGCCCGACTCCAATGTGGCCCCAGATGTGCCTCTGCGACCCTAGACACAACCCCTCCTGAAGCCCCGCTTTAGACTCCACGGAGGGCAGCCTCCAGACCCCTCCGCAGAAGCCAAGGCTGCTTCGCCTGTCCAGGTGTGTACTGGGGCGGGGGCGGGGGGCTCTCTCCAGCGGGGAACTGACCCCCGCTAGCCCAGCTCCAAGCCAGGGAGAACGACCGTCTAGTTGGAAAGGTCAGCTGCGTAACACTGTTGCCTTTGTCCCTCTCTTGTGTCACTGTCCCCCGTCCCCCACCTCCCTGCTCCCACTAACCAGGTGGGAGGCTCCTGGTCAATCCTCTACACGTCGCCCCCACCCCCACCCTGCTAGGTCCATGCATCCAAGTCCCCTCTCTCCCCCGACCACCTCCCCCTGGGCCGCCAGGGCACCGGGTCCCCGCGCGCGCACGCGCGCCACTGCGCTCCCGCCGGGCGCGCCTCGCACCTGCCAGGTAAGTGGCGCAATCTGCGTAGCCCTCGCGGTAGGGGTCGCACTTCTCGATGGCGGTGGCTCCGTCGCTGAGGGTGGTGGCGAAGATGGCCGCGCCGTGCTGCACCAGGGCCGTGCAGATGGCCGTGTCGTTGCACGACGCGGCGCAGTGCAGCGGGGTCCTGCGGGTGAGGCAAGGGCGCGCGGCGCGCGTGAGCGGCGGTGCGGGGGGTCCCCCTCCACCCGCCACGGCCCCCGGGGGACACTCACCAGCCGTGGCTGTCGGGGGAATTGACGTTGGCACCCGCCGCGATGAGGAAGTCGACGATCGGGTAGTTGGCGCCGCAGATGGCGTTGTGCAGGGCGGTGATGCCCTCCTCGTTGGGCTGGCTTGGGTCGTTCATCTGCGGGGAGGCATAGGGGACAGGCAGTGAGTCCTTAGGGTGCCCGCTCCGGAGCTTATGGCGCCGTTGTCCGTCCGCGCCCGCGGGCAGTGCTCACCTCCTTCACCGCCTGCTGCACCACGTCCAGCTCCCCGGTCAGCGCCGCATCCAGCAGCAGCACCAATGGGTTCAGGCGCGCGCGCCGAGCCTTGCGCGGGGAACCCGCCTTCCGCAGCACCGAGCGCATCTCCTGGGGGGCAGAGTTCAGAGGGTTGAAGGGATGACGGAGGACCGGGATGATCCCTTGTCTGTTTTTATTGGCCATACACAGCGGTGCTCAGGGATGACTCCCGGCTCTGTGCTCAGGGATCACTCCTGGCGAAGCTTGAGGGGTGCTGGGGATTGTACCCCTCTGTGCCAGCTGTGAAAAGTAACTGTCTTCCCCGCTGGCTTATCTCTCCAGCCTCTGGTCCTTAACTCTGGTTACCCACCAGATGGACTGGAACCCAGGGAGGTGCACAGACTCTGGGGTCCACAGAGATTTCAGGGGGTTCTTCAAGTTAATAAGCTCCAATTTCCTACCAATCCAGAAATCCAGAGTTTGGGAAACTGGGCCTTCAAACTCATGAGGATGTGGGGAGAGGCTAGAGCTGATGATTGTGGATGGAAACCAGGCATTTGTGCAGTCCCTCAGTCTCATTTCCAAAAGAAATCAGGGGCCGGAGTGATAGTAGAGCGGGGAGCATGCTTGCCTTGTAGGCAGCCAACCCAGGTTTCATCCCTGGCATCCCATAGGCTCATCTGAGCACCACCAGGAGTACTTCCTGAGTGCAGAGCCAGGAGTAAACCCTGACCACCACCAGGTGTGGTGCCAAAGCAAGCAGAAACAATAAGCAGAGTAGTGTTGTAATATGGAATTAATATTTTTGCTTGCTTTGGGGCCATTCCTGGCAGTACTTGAGCGTCATTCCCAGCAGTAGCTTGGGGACTGTGCAGTGCTGGGAATAGAACCTGGGGCTCCCCCATGCTTTGCATGTGCCCCACAACTCTGAGCCATCTCCCCAGGCTTAGCTGTGATTTTGTGATCCAAATGAGAAGTGTTTTGAATTTTCAGCTTTTGGTTTTTCTTCCCAAGGAGGTGTGGTTTGGGGTCACACCTGCCAGTGCTCAGGGGTTACTCCCAGTTCAGTGCTTGCAAGACTATATGGTGCTGGGAATGAAATGTGATCTTCCTGCGTGCAAAGCTTTGGCTTGCTAACTTTGCAATGTCTTTTTCTTTTTTGACTAAAGTTAAAACTTTTTTTTTTTTGCTTTTTGGGTCACACCTGGCGATGCACAGGGGTTACTCCTGGATCTGCACCCAGGAATCACTCCTGGCGGTGCTCGGGGGACCATACGGGATGCTGGGAATCGAACCCGGGTCAGCCACGTGCAAGGCAAACATTCTACCTGCTGTTCTATCACTCCAGCCCCTAAAGTTAAAACTCTTGATCAGTATTCTTCTTTTTTTTTCCCCTTGGTTTTTGGGCCACACCCAGCAGTGCTCAGGGGTCACTCCTGGCAGTACTCAGGGACCCTATGAGATCAAACCCTAGTTGACAGCATGCAAGGTAAGTGCCTTCCCTGCTGTACTATCATTCTGGCCCCACTAACTGTAATTCTAAGATCTTCAAAGCTTCAGGAGCTCAGGATCCAGGATCTCGGGTGCCAAGGTGGACACCAGGATTTCTTTCCAGCCTTCCAGGAGTTCTCAAGTTTCCCTGTGGGCAGGACCCGGCAGATTTTACTGGCTAGCTTATACCCTTTCAAGACCTGTCATTCTTCCTCTGTGCTTTCTTCCTCTGTCCAAGATCCAAGGTCTCAATAGTTTTTTTTCTCGACCCTCAGGAGGGCATGGAAATAGGCATTTAGAGTGTTCACCTGAAGCCCCCACTTCTGTGTACCCACAGAGAGAGATGGGTACTTTTCATGAGATTCCTAAGGGGCCCCTCATCCTCCCCCTGACAAGAGACAGGGACCAAGGCCAGCAGGCTAGCAGAAATTCCTCTCCTGGCTAAAGGTCAACAAAACTCGCAGCAAATTGGCTAAGTGCCTTGGGACTCGAGAGACTACAGCAGGGAAGGCGCTTGCCTCGCAGCAGCCGACCTGGGTTCTCTCCCAGGCACAAAATCCGGTCCCCTGAACCCAGACAGGAGTCTTTTTATTTTTTTTTCCTCTTTTTTACTCTTCCCTGGCAATGCTCAGGGGTTACTCCTGGCTCTCCACTCAGGAATTACTCCTGATAGTGCTCAGGGGACCCTATGGGGACCAAACCTGGTTCCACCGGTGCAAGGACCTCCCCCCTGTGCTAACACTCCAGCCCCAGGCGTGAAACCTGAGCACAAAGCTGGAGTAAGCCCTGAGCTCTGCTGGCTGTCCCCCTCTCAAAAAATTTGAATTTCGCAGGGGCGAAGCTACACGTAGGGGTACTCAGGGCTCTGTGCTCAGGGAGGCTCCCACCCGGGATCAGGCAGTCTCAGGGATCTAACTGGGATCAGCCAAATACAAGGCAGCACCTTAACCCCTGGACAATCTCATGGGCTCTGAGTCTTTTATTCTTCGCTCCCACTTGGGGGCCACCAGGATGCTGTGGATGAGCAGGGCATAATGAGGTGTTGGGACTTGGGGGCCCCAGACCCACCCAGCCTGGCCTCCAGTTCTGAGTATCTCCCTGTCCCAGAATCTAAACACATATTAACCAAGTCCTGGAAGATGGGGCAGCTGCTCTGCCCATTTTACAGATGAGAAAACCGAGGCCCAGTGAGTCTCCTGGTGTTCTACTGCTGACCAGGTCCCTGGAGCTAGGGGCTTATAGCCAGACAGGCAGAGGTGGAGAGGGAAACACAAACAGGGATGGCCTCGGAGGCCAGAGACTCGGAAGGAGCTCTGAGTCAAGGCCTCCGAGGCCTGTCAAGTCAGTTTATCAAGCGTGGCGAGGCAGCTTTGACTCAGAGGGCGGTGGAAGCTTTCTAGCCACAGCTGGGGCGTGATGAGGCGAGAGAGATCAGAGACTGGGAGAGGAGGGGATGGGGTGGGGTGACCAGAGTCAGAAATGGTATGGTGACGGTGGGGGGCCGGAGAAATAGCATAGTGGGGAGGCGCTTCCATGTGGCCCACCCGGGTTCGGATCCCCCCTCCCCCCTCCCGCCGAGGTCCCCAGAGCACCACCAGGAGTAATCCCTGAGCACCGATGGGTGTGGCCCCCAAATGAAACAAAAACAGCATAATAGAAGGCAGGCAGAGAAAGTCTCTGGGTGGCCAGGCCTCCGTTGAGTATTATTTTGGGGGAAGGTTTAGGGGACATCACTCTCTGCAGCTCAGGGATCAAACTCAGAGCCTCACCTATGCCTGGTGGTGCTCGAGCCACATCTGGGGCTTCTGGGCTCCTCCCTCCCATCAGAACGCAGGCACAGGGGCCTGAGCAATAGCGCAGCAGAGAAGGCATTTGCCTTGCACGCTGGTGACCAGGGTTCAGTCCCAGGCATCCCACAGGGTTGCACCCCAAAACAAAATCAAAAACTAAAATGAAATAATATTTTTCTTTTTGGGTCACATGCTGCATTACTCCTGGCTCTGCACTCAGGAATTACTCCTGGCAGTGCTGGGGGGGGGGGGGGGAACCCATATGAGATGCTGGGAATTGAACCGGGGTCGGCCGCATGCAAGGCAAACGCGAGGAGGAGGAGGAGGAGGAGGAGGAGAAGGAGGAAGAGGAGGAAAGAAGAGGAGGAGGAGGACGAGGAACAACAACAACAACAACAGCAACAACAACAACAACAACTGGCGCCGGCGCAGCTGGAGGTCCTGGTTAGCAGGGGGCCAGCAGCATGCAGAGATGAGATGGACCAATTCCCAGGGGGTCCTTCTCCCCTCGTCCAGCTGGAGGCCCCTTTCGGCGCTAATAGACGTACCTGGCTCTGCGGCTGCTCCTGGGGGCTGCTGTGCTGCGGCGCCGGCTGTGGGATGGGAACAGGGGGGGCCGGAGCTGGGGGTCCCGCCCGGGCCTCGGCCCCTTCGGTGATGGGCGTGAGGTCGGGCTCCGGCGCCCCGGGCCCGCCGTGGCGGTGGAAGAGGCGGCTGATGATCTGCTGGTACTGCTTCTTGTGCGTGGGCGGCAGCGCCACCGCCGGGCTCTGCTCCATGGAGCCGCGGCGCTTGAGCGGCCGGGGGATCTCCGCCAGCACCCGCGCCACCTCCTCCAGCTCGGGCACCGACTGGGCCTCGGGGGGCAGTGCCGGCTGCAGCCGCGTGGGGCTGAGGGGCCGCGTGACCGCCTCGTCCCCCTCGCCCGCCTCCAGCGCGGGCGTCAGCAGCCCCTCCAGCTCCGGCTCCGGCTCCAGCTCTGGCGGGGGCTTGGGGGGCGCTAAAAAAGAGCAAAAATCATATCAGGGCAAGGGGGAAGAGAAGGGTGGTCCCAGAAGTCTGCCCACGATTGGTGGGACCTGCCATCAGCACACCTTCTCTGTGTGACCTCAAGGCAGTTTCTTTTTTTTTTCTTTTTGGGTCACACCTGGAGATGCACAGGAGTTACTACTCCTGGCTCTGCACTCAGGAATCACTCCTGGCGATGCTCGGGGCACCATATGCGATGCTGGGAATCGAACCTGGGCCAGCCAAGTGCAAGGCAAATGCCCTACCCGCCGTGCTATTGCTCCAGCCCCTCAGGGCAGTTTCTTGCAAGGCAAGTGTCCTCCCTGCTATACTACTGTCATTGATCAGAGGGCCCAGGATGTATGGATTAAATATTCTAATGGCATATTTCAAGAATATCAGATCTAGTGGGACCAGAAAGCACAATGAGCTGAGGACATGCTTAGCATGCAGTAAGCCTGGGTTCAATCCTGGCTCTACACAGTCCTCCAAACACTGCTGGGAGTGAGCCCAGAGCACCAATCTGGGAGTAGTCCCTAGGCACTGCTGGATGTGCCTTCTAACCCCCCCAAACAAACAAGGATAGGTCCTATCACTATTCACCATTCCTATTAAATAAGACAGGTTCAGAGAGGTGAAGGGGCTTGTCTAAGGTCACACAGCATGGAATCAGACAGTCTGACTGTTGGTCCATGCCTAGCTGTGGGTCATCCCTGAGTCCTGAGCAAATTCCCAAGCTCCTCTGGCTTAGCCTCCTGCAGAAAGAGTGTCTGGAAACAGCAGCTTGGAAGGGACGATACCCCCCAGACAGTGCCCCGATGGGTCTGGTCCTCTCTCTGCCCAACCCTCTGGGTCCCCCCTGCAGACTCACTCACCTTCGCTGGTGCTTGTAGGGAGCCAGGTCTGCTGGGGTGGCTGTGGGGCTGGGGCTGGAGGCTGAGGCTGAGGCTGAGGCTGGGGCTGTGGTTGGGGCTGAGGGGGCAGCTGGGGCTGGGAGGGGGCTTGGGGCTGGAGAGGCAGTTTTGGGGGGGGCAGCCGGGAGAAGATGGGGGAGCCAGGGAACATGGCCCGGCTGCCCCCGTGCTCCCAGAAGGCGTTCTGCAGCTTGAATATCATGCTGAGGGGGAGGGGGCGCTGGCGGGGGGCGCCGCGGGGCTGGGGGCTGGAAGGGGGCATGGGAATTCGGCTGACGGGTTGCCAGCTACGGGGCAGCGTGCCCGATGGCCCCGCCGAGCCCAGCGATCGGCGGTAACTGCCCACATCCGAGCGCCTGTCGCTGGCCAGAGGGGAAACCTTGTAATTTCGGGGCAGAGTGGCGCTGGTGAGGTCCTGGCGGGGAAGAGAGAGGGAAGGAAGGAAGGAGGTGGTGACTCAGGCGAGGAAGATGGGGTGAAGGCAGGGGTGGGGGGGGCGGGAAGGTGGGAGAGAAAAGAAAATCCCAGCTTGGAAGCGTCCAGAAGGGCATGAGAGCTGGCAGGAGACAGGGAAGGCGGCTTGTCCACACCCCCCCACCCTCCTTCGCCTTCCTCAGCCCCTCACCTTGCCAGGGGCCCCCAGCCCGTCCAGGCTGCTTTCTCTCCAAGGTAACAGCTGCAGACCCGGCGAGGCCGGCCGAGTAAAGACATCCAGACCTGAGAAGAGAACCGAACCGTTGGGTTTTGGGGCACCCTACGTAGCTGGCAAACCCCACTTCCCCGCCTTACTGCCATCACTCACGCTCATAGCTCGCCGTCTGGGAAGACTTCTTCTCGTACGCCACGTCCAGATCGGACTCGTTCCAGGCTTTGGGGGGCCGCCGGCGCAGTGTCAGGTCGTCTGCGGAGACGTGAGCGAAGATGAGTGGGTGGGTGTGCCGGGGACGCGGGTTCCCACCTCCCCAGCTCAGGGGGATCACCCCACTCCCAGCAATTCACCTTGAGCGCGCAGAGGCGGGGCGAAGGCGCTACCGCCCGCGCCCAGCAGGGGGCTCCCGAAGGCGGCCGGGGGCGCGTCGTAGGCGGTGGCTGGGGGGCGCGGCGAGGGCCCGCGCTCAGGGAAGAAGGCCTGGGGTCCCTCGGCCAGGGGGCTCCCTCGGGGGGAGCCGGCGCGGCCCAGGAAGTCGAAGGGCGCGGGGGGGCCCTGCTGGCGCAGCGGGCCGGCTCCGGGCCGCGGGGAGGGCGCCCGGCCGAGGGAGCCGCCCGCGCCGTCGAAGGTGCGGGGCCGCGGGGAGGGCGCGCGGTCCAGGCTGCCGTAAGGGTCGGGCTGCAGGTAGAGCGGCGCGCGTGGGGACGACGGCCGGCCCTTGGGGGACAGCGGGCTGTAGGGGTGCAGGGCCGGGGAGCTCTCGGAGCGTCCGAAGGGGCCTTCCGCGCCGTCGGGGGCCGTCTTCCTGGGGGACCCGCGGTTGCTGAAGAGCTCCGAGACTGGGCTGGAGCTGTACCGGGGCAGCTGTGGGGAGCCGGGCATTAGTGGGTCAGAGGGGCGTCATGGGGAGTGGGGAGGAAGTCAAAAGGGCTGTCCCATGCCGGAGTCAGGGGCTGGGAACGGAGTCCCGAGTCAGGGCTGAAATCAGCACCTTTGGGTCACCTATTAAAAAGGCAAGTGGGGGACTGGAGCAATAGCACGGTGGGTAGGGCGTTTGCCTTACACGCGGCCGACCCGGGTACGATTCCCAGCTGGGGGACCTTCACATGGGGACCCGTATGGTCCTCTGAGCACCGCCAGGAATAATTCCTGAGTGCACCGCCAGGTGTGACGCAAAAAAAAAAAAAAGTGACCGGAGAATGTAGCTCAGCAGTCAAGCTACATTCCCCTTTTGGCGGGGAGAGTGTTCACACCCAGCGATGTTCAAGTTACTCAGCAGTATGTAGTACTCAGAATGTAGCTCAGCAGTCAAGCTACATCCCCCTTTTGGCGGGGAGAGTGTTCACACCCAGCGATGTTCAAGTTACTCCTGGCTCTGCACTCAGGGATCACTCCTGGCAGTGCTTGGGGGACCATATGGGATGCCGGGGATCGAACCCGGATCGGAAGTATGCAAGGCAAACGCCCTCCCTGCTGTACTTTCGCTCCAGCCCCCCTTCCCTCTCTTAAAAAAGCGATCTCAAGTCGCTCAATACCTGCACTTTCAGGTCAGCCTGGCCTGAACTGGCGGCAAGAAGTGGACTCTGGTTGGGGGTAGGGGGTAGGGGGTGGGGTGGGGTGGGGGTGGAGCTGCGCGGGGCCAGGGTGGGGGCCAGGCTCACCCGAGGCGCGGCTCCGGCCTGCGAGCCAGGGGGCGCTGGCGAGTCGGACCAGAGCGACTCCAGTTGCTTGGTGAGCTCGTCCACTTTGGCCGCCGCCGTGTCCAGCTCCATCTGCTTCAGGTCCATGTGCTTCATGGCCAGGGCTGGCCGGGAAGGAGAGGTGAGGACCGGGCCGGAGGGTGCCCCCAGCCGCTTCGACCCTCCCCGCACCCAGTCCCCGCCGGGCAAGGCCCGCCCCCTCCTCTCTGCTCACATTGAAAGTTGAGGTCGAAAAGGTCCCGCGCGCTCTGGAAAGCCTCGCTGTCCATGGTGCCGGCCGGAGCGGGGCACCTGCCGAGAGAGGAGAAACCTTCTCAGTCTTTCCTCCCGCCCCCGAGAGATAATATTGGTGGGGGCACACCTGGGGATGCTCAGGGGTTATTCTGGCTCTGCACTCGGGGATCATATGGGATGTTCAGGGGATCGATCATATTGGATGTGCAGGGGACCATATGGGATGTTCAGGGGACCATATGATATGCGGGGGATAGAACCCGCGCTGGCCGTATGCAAGACAAGAGCCTTAAGCGCTGTACTATTGTTCCTCCCTGTAAATTTTTTCCTGCTCTTTGGGTCACACTCTGTGATGTTCAGGGTTTACTCCTGACTCTGCACTCAAGAATTACTCCTGGCAGTGCTCGGGGGACCATATGGGATGCCGGGGATTGACCTTGGGTCAGCTACATGAAAGGCAAATGTCCTACCCGCTGTACTATCGCTCCAGCCCCCCTATTTTTTAAAAAATTGTTGAGGGACCAGAGAACTAGTATGGCAGGTAGGGTGTTTGCTTTCAATGTGGCTGACTCAGATTTAATCCCTGGTATCCCATATGATTCCCCCAAACATGGCCGGTAGGCCAGTAGTAATTCCTGAGTGCAGAGGCTAGGAGTAATCCCTGAGTATTGCCAGGTGTGCACCCCCTCCCCCAAAAGCACTGTAGCACTGTCCTCCCGCTGTTCACCAATTTGCTCAAGCAGTAACGTCTCCATTGTGAGACTTCTTTTTACTGTTTTTGGCATATCCAGTATGCCACGAGGAGCTTGCCAGGCTCTGCCATGTCAGTGAGACACTCTCGGTAGCTTGCTGGGCTCTCTGAGAAGGACGGAGGAATCGAACCCGGAACCCGGGTCAGTTGCAAAAGACAAAAAAAAAAAAAACCACAAATAGACAAACACCATTGTGTTGTAATTTCCTCCCAGGGTTGTGAATTTGGCTTTCTACCCCCTCATTCTATGGTCAAAACCCCCAATGCAGGCAAGAAAGTGGGGCTCAGGGGCTGAGAGATGGGTCAAAGGCTGGAACACATATGTTCTACGCATTGGGCCCCAAGTTCCAACCCTGGCACCATATTAGCCCCCAGCAGCATTGCGGGCAGCCCTGGTGGACCCCAACAGTGCCCCACCAGCACTGTAGCATTGAATGGTTGAATTATCAGGCCCCGCATTGCTGGGAGTAGCCCCAGGCACCTCGAAAAAAAAGATAAGAAGGTGGGGTTCAGGAAACATTAATCCCAGGACATCCTGGAGCCAGTTGGCAGGCTGGGCTCCCTGTCAGGACCTGACTTGTCCTTCTGGGCTGTCTTCAGACCGGAGGGTCCCGAGGCCAGGGACACCCAACCGCCTCTCCCCAGGGCCCACACCCAGAAAGAAAACTGCTTCACAAGGACCCAGTGTTCCTGGAACGGCCAGGGAGGTGGCTGGGGGCAGTGGTCACCAGCCCAGTGGGAGGGGGGCCAGGCCACCAGAAACCGGTCCAGCCGGCACCATCATGATCCCCATGGCAGCCGCCATGCACACCCAGCTGCCACCTCCCGCTGCTCCGGGCTTTGCAGCGCGGGCTTGGTGGGGCAAGCGTGGGCAGCGGGGCGGGCCCCAGCATGCCCATTACGGCCGCTGTCTGGGAAAGCTCCGAACAGAACCTGTTGGGGCCAGTGGCTCATCTGGGTGTGTTGGGGAGTGTCGTGTGACCCTGGGCGTTGCGTCTCCACCTCCTAGGGCTTCAGTTTCCCCACCAGTGAAAGGAAGGGGCCAATCAGCGACTCAACCTCGCAGGCATCAAGATTCTGAAAGGCAGGCCGGAGCAATAGGGCAGTGGTAAGGTTCCTGCCTTGCATATGGGACACCTGGGTTTGATCTCCGGTATCCCATATGGTCCCCCAAGCGCTGCCAGGGGGGATTCCTGAGCACGGAGCCAGGAGTAGTCCCTGAGCATTGCCAGGTGTGGCCCCCAAAACAAAAACAAGATTCTAAGAGGCAAAGAGGGCTGTTCTGGGAATTTGATAAGCACTGAAAACCTGCAACTTCGGAAAAGACAGTTCAAGATTCCTGATGGGAACAGGCTCGGATTCTCCAAACGGACTCATCTAGATTTCTTAGAAAATACCCATTTCCATCCAATACCCATCTCCTCGGGCTGGAGCGATAGCACAGCGGGTAGGGCGTTCGCCTTACAAGCGGCCAACATGGCCGACCCGAGTTCGATTCCTCCGCCCCTCTCGGAGAGCCCGGCAAGCTACCGAGAGTATTCGATATGCCAGACACAGTAACAACAAAGTCTCCAATGGAGACGTTACTGGGCCCGCTCGAGCAAATCGACTATCAACGGGAGGGATTTACCTTACCTTTACCCATCTCCTCAAAGTCTCAGGGAATGTGGAGGGTACCATAGGATGTGGACAGGCCCAAGGAGGGGCACATTTAGGATTTAGAGGTGGTAAGACCCCTGTTCACCCACCACCCTGACAAAAGTGTCTCAGTTTCCTGATCTGAAAAGAAGAAAAAAGAAACACAGCCGACCACTGAGGGCTGTCGGGAGGGTACAAGGGACCAGAGGTGTAGCTGAAAATGTCTGGACCTCAGGAACCCCAACTCAGGGATTTTATTTTTATTTATTTTGGGTTTTGGATCATGTCCAGCGATGCTCAGGGGATACTCCTGGCTCTGTGTTCAGGAACCACCCCTGACATGCTTGGGGGACCATATGGGGGATGCAGGGGATCAAACCCGTATTGCCCGTGTGCAAGGCAAACACCCTCCCTGTTTTACTATTGCTCTGGTCCCAACTCGAATATTTTAGAGCCTCTGGAATATCCAGGAGACATCGTGTCTGTCAAAATAGACAAATGAGGGTCCTGAGTGATCATCCAGGGGGAAGGTGCTGCCCTGCATGCACCTGACCAGGGTTCCATCCAGGCACCCTCTATGGCCCCCAGAGACCTGCCAGGAGTCACCCCCGAGCACAGAGCCAGGAGGAAACTGTAAACAGCGCCGAGTCTACCTCCTCCCCCTGACCCCCCCCCCAGACTCCCCCCAAGACAGATAAACAGTGCTGGGATCAGGGAGATAGCTCAAAGGGCTGGTGTGCAGATGGGGGTTTGATCCCTGGCACCGTGTGAGCTGGGCCTGCTTTCTATTTCCCCCAAAAGTAACACCAAAATTCACAATGGCACGCAGCCTCCGGCGGCAGCATGCTGGCAGCGAACGGTTACTTAGGGATGGGAAAATTTCACGATCCCCAAGTCTGTTAGGCTCCACATAACACTCTGGGTGGAAGGAAATGCCAGGCCTGGGCGTGGGGCCGGGCTGGGGCGGCTGCGGGCGCAGCGGCCGGCAGGGGGCGCTCAGGGTCACGGCCCGTCCCGAGTCGGCCGGGCGGACCGCGCCTGAGCTCAGACCCCGGGAATGTGCTGCGGGCCCGGGCAGGTGCGCAACCTCCTGCGGCAGGGGAGTGGGGTTCGGGCGGGGCGCAAGGGCGGCACGGGCCGCTCCCCGGCTCCCAGGCCCGGCTCCTCCCTCCACCCGCAGGTCTTCTCCGCCCGGCTCCTCCCGCCCCCGCGAGTTCTCTTCCACCCCCGAGTTACTCTCCAGCCCCGGTCCGGGTCCCCGTTCCCAGCTTCCCCTTCTGATTCCACATCCCAGCAGGGTTATTCGGGGTGAAGAACCCCGCGGGGCGGCGGGACGAGACACGAAGGGTTTCTTGGAGCAGTCGTCTTCCGACGGACTGGGCAGGGCGAACCGGGATGGGAATGACACAGCTGTGTCCCCACTGCTGAGGACGCTGCGACGCCCCCCACCCTTTCTGGGACTTGGGAGACAGTGGGCGTGGGTCGGGGTAGAGAACACTGGGTGGGGTCTCCCAGGAAAGTCTGTGTTCGGTGTTAATTCTTTATTTTTTGCCCAATCTTCCTCCGGTACATAGGGGGGATGGACGCAACAGCTCCCTGGCGTGAGGTTTGGATGACATCATTTGTGTAGTGTTTGGCTCTGTGGCTCTGAGCAGGGCATGAATCCAGTCCACACATTGAGGGTTCTTAATTACCACTGTTTCCCTGGTTATTCATTAAGAGAGCACAGGATCAGACCCACTGAGTCACAAACTCCAACAGTGGGGAGAGCCTTGCATGGGCCAATCATGGATGGATCCCGAGGGGCATCACATATGGTGCCTGAGCACCACCACAAGTAATTCCTGAGTGCAGAAAGCCAGGAGTAACACCTGAGCATAGCCAGGTGTGACCCCAAAAGCAAAAAAAAAAAAAATCCAAAATAATCCCCCAGTCTCTCCCCCACCCACCAAAAGACTCTTTCAACTCGTTCTGAACCAGAGGCAAAATGTAAGAGGGCTCAGGGGCTGGATCGCAGTTTTGTGGCTGCAAGTTCAATGCTTCTTGATGCATCACCTCTGGGGGCTCCCAAACCCAAACCAAGCACCAGTACTTTTTGAGATTCCACAAGCCCGAGGATTTGGGGTTGGTTTGTTTTGCAGGTTTTGTGTGGTTTTGGTTTTGTTGATCAAATTTGAGCTTTCTGGGGCTGGGGCGATAGCACAGCAGGTAGGGCATTTGCCTTGCACACGACCGACCCGGGTTCGATTTCCACCATCCCATATGGTCCCCTGAGCACCACTAGGAGTGATTCCTGAGTCCAGAGCCAGGAGTAACCCCTGAGCACTGCCGCATGTGACCCAAAAAGCAAAAAAAAAAAAATCTGAGCTTCCTCCAGGCAATGTCCGTTGAACTCTCTGCAGTCCATAGGTTTTTTGGTGTTCTTTTATTTGCTGGTTTGTTTTTTTTTTTGTTTTGGGGCCACACCCAAGGGATTAATCCAGGCCAGCACTCCAGCTGGGGATAAGCGTATCCCCAGCCCGAGCCCAGAAACACAGAACTCCAGATTCTCAACTTCCTGAGAATTCACCTGGGTGGTGAATTTCCAGTTCTCCTGGCATCCCTGAGTCCCGTCATCCCCCAAAACATAGGGGAGGGGGAGGATGCTTGCCTTGCACTCGGCATGACAGAGTTTGATCCTGGAATCCTATATAGTCCCCTGAGCCCATCAGGAGTGATCCCTGAGTGTAGAGCCAGGAAACAAGCGCTGAGCACTGGTGGGTATAACCCAAAGCAAAAGAAAACAGAAAGAAGAGAGATGGGCAGTGCCCTTTTTTCCAGCCGCAGGGGTAGGAAGAAGTTGTTCCTGGGGGTGGGCAACACCAGTGGGACAGCTGCCTGAGAATTCTGGAGACAACAGGGCAGCGTCTCTACCTGCCAGCCCAGCGCCTGGCTCACTCCAGCTCGGGCTTGGCAACCCCAGTTATTATTTTTACTTTCATCTCGGGCTATCACCAAATGCCCTTCAAGTCCAAACATTGGAAAGGCTGCTTGCTCTCTCTTGTCAGACCCTGGTTTAATCCCCACTCCTGACGCTGGGGGGAGGGGAGGAGGGGGAGACAGAGCGAGGGGAGGGCCAGGGCCCTGCCCTCCCCAGCTCCAAGGACAGACACACACCTCCAGAATTAGCCTGGATCCCTCCCTTATCTCTCACGCCACCCCAGGTCAGACAGACAGGGAGGAGGTGACATTTCTCACCTCGGGGTCAGGGTGCGGAGCCCCGGAAGAGGCAGGTTAGTCTGAAAATCTGGTGGGGAAGGACGGAATGCTTTCCTGGGGATGGACGAAACGCCTTCCTTTCCCGGCAGGGTCAGACCAAATCCTGACACCCACTCCCAACCCCCTCCCCAACTCCGCTGCCGTGGGGGGCCCTTCTAACCCTCAGTTTGCCTCTCCGTAGAAGGCCGTGGTGTAAGTGCCCCGTCCACTCCAGTTTCCCAGAATTCATCCCCTCCTTGAGGGTTTCTCCGCTGGCCTCTCCAATGTCCCCAGGAAACCCGCCCCCCCATCGTGACATTTCCTCACCTCGGTGGAGCAATAGCGGGGGCGGCGCCGCTAGGGGGCGCCCTGGGGCCGAGCCCCTCCCCACACACCGCCCCCTCCCGCGCTGGTTTAGCAGGTCTGACTCCCGGGTTAATGACATGTTGGGGATCGCGCAGCGGCACCGAAAACTGGACAGCCGCCACCATCCCCCCATACTCGCCCCCACCCCGAAGCCGGAAAACGGGAGGGAATACTGGGTTCAGGGAGACCCCGGGTGCTGGCACCATTTCGGGGAACCTCGTCCCCTGCCCCGTGGCACCCCTACATTCCGCTGGGTATTTAAAGGGCTCGGTGGAGAAGGCAGGACGGCCGTCCACCCCAGAGCCCCAGCTCGAGCTTCCCTTTTCTGCCCCAGACTTGGGGGTTCGATACACCAATGCCACTCGAGGACTGCAACTTTCGAAAGCACCGCGCCCCCCACTCCATCCGAGGATCTCGGGGGTTCCACTTCTCCACCTCCTGGGGCCAAAGCGCCCAGAACTTCCATTCCCCCAACTCAAACTCCCTTTCCTTCTGTCCGGGAAAGCCTGCATCCCAATTCTCTTCTCCCCCAAACCCCAGTGACTGCGCACCCCCCAATTCTGCCCCAGGGAACTGGCGTACGAGACCCATCCCGGTCTTTCCAGGGACGCGGGTCTGGGTGCGGGCTTCCCCAAAGACGCTGGACCCCGAGGGGGGGGAACTCACGGGTCCGGGACAGGTCCTGGCACCGGGGGGGCTCCCTCCGGCTCCGGCTCCGGCTCCGGGGAGCAGCGGAGGACGGGGCGGGGCAGGCGCCTGGAACAGGTTAGACGACGTGACTGGAACTGGAGGGAGGCGGGTCCGGAGGGGAGGGGGAGCCGGGGTCACCTCGAGCACCTTGGGACTTGTAGTCCCGGAGGGACAGGACGCGACAGACTCCTTCCATCAGCAGGCACTCAAATCTTTTTTGTAGTTGTTTTTGTTTTGGTGCCACACCCGGCGGTGGTCAGCACGGACTCCTGGCTCTGCACTCAGAGATGTTTGGGGGAGCATGTGGGATGCCGAGGGTCGAACCCGGGCCAGCGCCGGCGTGCAAGGCAAGAGCCCTCCCCGCTGTGGGATCACTTCGGTTCCTCAAAATCTATTTCACAAGAAGGGCGAGTCCAAGGAGTCTAGGGTGACCTGTCCGTGGAAGTCGCAGTCCAGACTCTATCTCTGGGCGGCTGCAGGAGATAGTCCCTGCCCCACCTGTCCCGTTCAGTTACCCCTATTTTGGGGGGAGCACACCCTGCGATGTTGAGGGCTACTCCTGGAGGTAACCAGGTTTCCTGCACTCAAAACTTGCATTACTCAGGTTTGAGCTGTTCCTTCTTTTCTTCTCCACTTTTTTTTTTTTTAACTTTTTGGGTCACAGGGGTTACTCCTGGCTCTGCATTCAGAAATTACTCCTGGCGGTGCTCAGGGGACCATATGGGATGCTGGGAATCGAATCCCGGTCGGCCGCGTGCAAGGCCCTAACTGCTGTGCTATCGCTCCAGCCCCTCCCCGACTTCCTTTTTATGCGGAGATGGAGAGGACCACCAAGGAACTCCGGCGCTTGCACCTGCAAGACATGCGCTCTACCTCCTGAATGATTTCCCTTGAAAGAGCCCCTAGTGGCCCACTGATTTGGCGGGGGTCACCAAAGGGAGAGATGGTTGGAGGCTGAAAGACTCACATGTCCCACCCCGAAGACGGAAATGAGGCTTTTGCTAAATCAGCATTTTCGGACACTTCAGCGGGCAGAAAAGAGCGAGTCGCATCGAAGGCTCTCCAGCACCCGCCACCCAAATAGGCCGTGGGGACTACAATTCCCAGCAGCACCTACGCCGAACGCCCCGCACCCCCCGCCCCGCGGCCTCTGGGAACTGTAGTCCCTGCACCCGCAGGGGCGGCGCCCGCGTGTCTCGCCCACGCGCGAGGCGGGGGGACTATCTGGGGATCCCGGGCGGAGCTAACGCGTCCCCTTCCCTGTCCTCTCCGCTCGTGGGGGCCGCCGGGCCCTCCTGCAGAAGGGGGAGCCATTCGGCAATAAGGATCCTCAAAATCTCTGCAGAGGGGGCGGGCGGCGACGCTGACACACCGGCCAGGAATGCAGTCGGGTCATCCCGTCTAGCCACCGTCCCGCGGCCCCGCCCGCCGCCCCACGCGGTGCGGTCCCCGTGGGAAGGGGCCCGCGCGTCACCCCACTCCCCCATCTGCGTCCACGTGCTGCTGTTTACACGTTCCCCGGGGCGGGGAAGGGGCGCTGCTCGGGACTCCCACTCCCTTTTCCGTGCTCACCGCCTTCGGGGCAGCGCCCCCCCACTAGGCACCAGCACCCACCCGCGCCTGTGGACCCGGCAGCTCAGCCTCCCCGCGCGCCCCGCCCCACGCGTGTCCCGCGCTCGCCCCGAGGCCCCGCCCCGAGAGTCGCGGGCTCCTCCCCCTGGGTTTCCCGCGCCCCCGGAGTCCAGAAGTCCCGCCCCTAGCTGATACGAGCCCCCGGAATAGCCCCCCCGCCTCCATTTTCCCCCCCATCTCTGTCGCTCAAGCTTTGAACTTCCGAGGCAGCCGGGGGCCCGGGAAAGGACTGTAACCCCGAAAACACTGGCCTGCCCACCGGGGCGCTTACCTGTCTCAAGTTTCCAGCCCAACCGCGCTCCCTGTCCCTTTAAAAGTTCGGGGGGCTAATAAGGAGACGGTCCCTTTAAGACGACGTCGGCGCAGAGAAGGTCGGCGGGACGGAGGGGGGCGTCCTCGGGGGCCCGCGCGGCCCGAGCCCCCGCCGGGCGGCAAAGCGGCAGCCTCCGCGGATGCTTTGGGCAGCACGAGTGTGCCTCGGTCGTCGGCTCTGCTCAAGTGGACATTGTCTGGGGTTCTGCGCCGAGAGCGGGCGGGTTCGGAGCAACACCCCCCCCCGCGTCACTTGGGCGCTGCCCGGAAAGGCCACGCCTCTGGGCTCCACGTGGTCCGTGGCGGGCGCTGGTGACCTGCGGCCCCGGGCATGGCGGGGACCCTGGCTGGAGGTGAGTCACTTTCAGGTGGGTGGACGGGGTGCAGGGCGGGGAGGACGGGGCTCCCGGGAGTCCCCGGGTCCCCGGGCGCGGCCAGTCCCCTCGGGAGGGGCGCAGGAGCCCCGGAGACGAAGAGGTCCTCTCGGGGAGCAGGAGCGCAGCGGGGAGACACCCGCTTAGGGGATCGGCACGCTTAAGAGGTTGGGACCCCTCCGGGAAGCGGGGAGCCCCAGAAAGTCCGACCCCCCCCTTTATTTTTCTTCGCAGGTGCTGCGCGATTCTCTTGCCCCCCCAACTTTATAGCGGCGTCCTCGGAGCCCCCTCGTTTCTCCCTGGAGGCCTTAACGGGTCCTGATTCGGAACTCTGGCTGATCCAAGCCCCCATCGACTTCGTCCCTGCCTGGTGAGTGGACCGAGACAGGAATATCGCGGTGATCAAACCCTATTTGGGTTTTAGGTTCCGCCCCCGACCATTATCTGGGGCTACCCCCAGATAGCGTTGGGGACCCTGCGGTGCTGTGATGGGACCCCCGTTTTCCTGCACGCAGAACCTGCCCTCTAACCCTTTGAGCCGCTTCCCTGGCACTTTTTTTGGTTTTTTTTGTTTGTTTGTTTATTTTGTTTTGTTTTCGGGCCACACCTGATGGTGCTTAGGGCTTACTCTTGGCTCTTCGCTCAGGGATCACTCCGGGCAGCGGGGGCAGGAGTGGGGACAGTCGGACCCTGTGGGATGTGACTATCGAATGAATCTGGGTTAGCAGTGTTCAAGACAGCCCTCCCGCCTGTACTGTCTCTTGGCTCCCCCAGCACTTAACGTTATCAGGTTTTCTTTATGGGGAAGGGTCAGATTTAGACGGGCATTCCTGAGAAACCCAGGAATGATCTCTTCCTGGGTCACACCAAGAAAACCTGACCCTGTTTCTCCCCTCCTCCCCCTTCCAGCCTCAATGGACGCCTGGTGCCCCTCTCTGGCTCCCAGCTGGTGAAGGGCAAAGTGGCTGGCAAGCGGCACCGATACCGCATCCTCAGCAGCAGCGGCCCTCGAGCTGGGGATGCCACCCTGCTGGCCCCCTCAGCAGAGGCAGGAGGGGGCCTCACCTGTGCGCCAGCCCCCCAGGGCAACCTACGGATCGTTGAGGGTTCCCAAGAAGCCACTTCCAGGATGCCCCTGCAGCCCATTCCAGCCAGCCCCGCACCTCAGATTCCCGAAGGTCTGAGGCCTCGGTTCTGTGCATTTGGGGGCAGCCCTCCCGTCACAGGGCCTGGGGCAGCCTCCGCGCTGAGGTCTCCCGCCTCGGGAAAGAAGAAAAAGAAAAGGCATCAGCCAGAGGTTACGACTCCTGGAGAGCCCGTGAATGGGCATGGGACTCTGGAGGTGGACGCAGCTCTGGGGACACCAGAGATGGTGGCGGGGAAGAAGAGAAAGAGGAAAAAACAGCAGCTGGAAGGCCTGGAGGGGGTGGAGCCTCTGACCACAGAGTCCCCAGAAGCTGAGCCACAGGGACCCCTGGAGGCGCTGAGCCCAGTGCCCCCCAAGAAGAAGAAAAAGCAGCGGCACAGAGAGGCCGAAACTGCCGAGCTGGAGCCGGAGGTGCCGGAGTCAGACAGGACCAGGGAGCAGCCCGGGCTCCAGGGTGAGACAGAGGAAGGGCAGGGCCTGTCTGCCCCCAGGAAGAAAAAGAGACGGAAGGACAGGGAGGGGGTGCCCAGTGAGTGTCAGCTGCAGCAGATGATGGAGCCCCAGGAGGAGGCTGCCACACAGCCATCCCCCAAGAAGAAAAGAGAAAAGGGGCGCCAAGGGTTGGTGGAGCCAGACACCGGGGCGCTGGAGCCCTGCAGGGAAATGATGGAGCCGGAAGGGACCTCCCCGGCCCAGGCAACTCTGCCCCCCACCAAGAAAAGGAAGAAAGACAAAGGACCACAGGCTTCTAGGGAGCCCTGCGAAGGGAATGAGGCACCCGAGCTGCCCGAAACCCTTTTGCCACAGGCAGCACTGTCACCTCCCAAGAGGAAGAAGGAGAGAAAACACAGGGGGCCTGAGGCTGGACAGGGGGCCAGTGAGCCTGGAGGGGAGGCAGCGCAGGAAGAGGGGGTTCCCGAGGGGCGTGAGAAGAAACGGAAGAAGAAGCTCTGGACAGATCCTGGAGAACCACTGATGGAACTCAGCTGAGCTGCCCCCCTCCCTCCCGGCAGACAGCAAGGAAGCCCCAAAGAAGCCCCTCCTCCCTGCAGTCACACACCAGCCAGACAGCCAGGCCCCCAAGTGCTTTATTGTTGCGGTGGGCGCCCCCTGTCTGCAGGGTCCGGGGGCACTTTCAGGAAGGGCTCGTGCAGGACGTCAAAGAGTCTCCGGGCCTGGAATGGGGGGGGGACTGATTAAAGGGGTCACTTTAATCTGAGTGGACTTCAGGTTCTTTCAAGGGGAGGGCGCTAGGGAAAAGGTGGCTACCCTGACATGTGCCCAGTGCCCAGGGGAGCTGGGGCCTGGACTTCCCGCCCCCTTCCCCAGGCTCATTTTCCTTCTGTCATACAATCCCGAGGTCCCATAATCACAGCACTGTGGGCTCTGGGGCCACACTCCTGGGGCTCCCTCCTGCCTCCCCTCCCCCCACCTGCCCAGACCTAGAGGTTGTACCTTTTGGGGCCCCAGGCCGGGGCATAGGGCCAAGTCTTCCCTCGAGGCTGCGATGACCTGCTGGAGAGACTGAGGAGTGCGGGGTGCAGAGTCAGGTGTGGGCGGGCACCCACCCCACTGGGCAGGCCAGGAGCTATCCCCCGGAGGAGGCAGATGGAAATCGGGGAGAGGCTTTCTGGACAACGGGGAAGAAACCGATGCAAATAGGCTGCCTCACCCCGAAAGTGGCCAGGAGAGTCTGGCTGTCCGTTTTGTTGACTGACTTCACGGTGGTGAGGCAGTCGGTCATCTGCAAGTAGAGAAGGGCTAAGAAAGAGTATCCAGTGGGTCGGTCCCTGGGATGCAGGCTGGGGGCACACTGTCCTCCCATCATGTGTCCCCTGTGGGTGCCTGATGCTGAACCCCAGGGCCAGACATCTGGGCTTGGGATGGCCATGGTCCTGGGGCTGAGCCCGCAGCTGGTCACAGTATGACCCAGGAAAGTGAACCTTGGGCAAGGGGGAACCCCCTCAGGCAGCTGTGGTCCGTGACCTGCTCACAGGGGTGAGAGTGGAGCCCTGTGGCCTGGGTGAGGACCGTGGCCCTGCTCATCCCAGGCTGGAGACTTGGGTGGGTGAGTCTGTGCCGCCCGGGTTCCTGCGCAGAGCTGGGCCGGATCAACAGGCCTGGATTTCTGTTCAGCTGCTAGTGGGAGGCCCCCAGCTGTGTGACCTCGGGGAAGAGTCCCTGGGAAAGGCATAAGAGTTGCGGGGGGCGGGGGGTGGCGGTGTTTGATCACCATGCGCTACTGCCTGGACCCAGTGCCAAGCCTTCACTTAGCAGTAGCTATGGCCAAGAGTGAGGAAACATGTAAGCTGGAAAGGGGGAACCCCACTAAAACAGCTCAGCTCGAGTATACGGAAAAACCAAAGAGGTGTGCCTCCTCTAAAACCACCTCGCCTCCCATATCTTTTTCTGATGGGGGGCACTAGATAGGGCCTAAGGAATCAGAGAAAACTTCCTGGAGGAAGGGGCATCAGGCTTCGCTGAGAAAGATGGGTTGGGCAGCCAGGCAACAGGGCAGAGGAAAGAGTGGACAGAATGGTCTGGGGATGAAGCTGGGGGTGGCCCCAGAGGGGGACGCAGGACCCTCACCCGGGAGATGAAATCCTGCTCCAGCTTCTCCATCAGGAGGTCCGCCGGCTTCTGTTCATAGGCCTTGTAGGTTTCCAGGTAGCGGCCCGCCTCCTCGGCGCTGGGGTGGGGATGGGGGGCGGGAGGGCAGGGTTTAAGTTTTGGTCATTAGGCCAGTTCCAGCTACTGTTAGAAGTGCCCAATGTGAGTAACTAGAAAAGCAAAGTTCCCAGCCTCCCCCACCTGCTCTAGGCAGAGGTGGTCTTATTTATTTTGCTTTTTGGGTTACACCCGGCAATGCTCACGGGTTGCTCCTGGTTCTGGACTCAGGAATTACTCCTGGTGGTGTTCATGGGACCATATAGGATGTCAGAGATTGAACCCAGGTCAGCTGCATGCAGAGCAAACGTCCTACTCACTGTACTACTACTACTCTGGCTCCTGTCCCGTTTCTGGCCTCCCCACCCGAGTGGTCCTGAGCCAGAGATCTCCCCTCTAGGCCTCAGCTTCCCCATCTGTGAAATGGATCGATGGCAGATCTATAGTGACAGGGTAATTTAAGCTTGGCACTTCAAATCCAAAACATCTAGGGCTAAGGAAATGGTGTGAAGCACAATGATCTGCCCATAGAAGCCCCAGGTTCAATCCCTGACACTGCATGGTCCCTTCGTCACTGAAGTAACCTTTAAGCTCCATGGTTTTGGCAAAGCCCCTTAAGTCCCATGGGGGGAGGGGGGCAGAATTGGTGAGTGCTGGAGAGCACATAGTGGGGAGGGCGCTTACATTGCACCTGAATAGCCCAAATTTAATCTCTGGCACCCACTACGGTCCCTCAAGCCATGCCAGAAGTCACTCCCAAAGTACAGAGGCAGGAGTCAACCTTAAGCACCGCTAAGCATGGCTCCAAAACAAAAACCGAAAAAGCAAATTATTCTGGAAGGGGGAATCCAGACCCCTGCTGATTCTCCAAACAGAAGCACACCCTGGTCCAGCACAGGAACACAGGGAGGTGTTTATCACTTTGCAAAGGGAGAGGTTAGAATTGAGCGTCCTTCCGAGGGGATGTGGTTGCCACTGCTGAATCGTCCTGAACTCAAGTTCCACCCATGTCCATGAACGCTCAAGCCAGGCCCTGCTTTTCTGACGCGTAATTAACCATTTCAAAAGGAGCTGAACAGCTGAGTCACAGCGGGTCTCTGGAGGAACTCAGACATATGACTGGATGCATTACAGGAAAGTGCCAATCTTTCTTTTTAAAAATATTTTACTTTGCAGGAGGGACCACACGGCAATAGTCAGGGCTGACTCCTGGCTCTGCACTCAGGAATTAGTCCTGAAGGTGCTCAGGGGACTTTATGGGATGCCGGGATCAAACTTGGGTAGGCTGCATGCAAGACAAGTGCCCTCCCCGCTGTACTATCACTCCGGCTCTGCCCTTCTCTGAGTAGAGAAAAAGCAAATCAGCGTTTGTCCAGGGGCCTCAAGTCTGCCTTCAAAATTGAGCAAGGCACAGGAAGGCTTGAATGTTGGTGGGAAAATTCTAGCAAAACATAATGCCCAGGGCTGGAGCAATAGCACAGCGGGTAGGGCATTTGCCTTGCATATGGCCCACCCGGGTTCAATTCCCAGCGTCCCATATGGTCCCCTGTGCAACGCTGGGTGTGACCCAAAAAGCTGTCACTGTCACTGTCGTCCTGTTGTTCATCGATTTGCTCAAGCGGGCCCAAAAACATTGTGAGTCTTGTTACTGTGTTTGGCATATCGAATATGGCCACACCACCCTGAATGCACCCAATCTTGTCTGATATCGGAAGCTAAGCAGGGTCAGGCCTGGTTAGTACTTGGATGGGAGACCGCCTGGGAATACCGGGTGCTGTAGACCCAAAAAGCAAAAAAAAAACAAAAAAAACATAATGCTCAAAAGTAGAGAGAGTACTGGAGAAATTGCCTGCCATGGAGGCAGGGTGAGGACTGGGATGGGTGGGGTGGGGGAATATACTGGGGACACTGGTGGTGGAAAGTGTGCACTGGTGGAGGGATGGGTGTTCAATCACTGTACAGCTGAATCTCGAACATGAAAGCTTTGTAACTGTATCTCACAGTGATTCAAAACAAAAAAGTAATGTGGAGTTCGTGCCCAATTCAATCAGCTAAATCAGTGGCTGAATAAACAGCAGGACTCCGACATTAAAAAAAAATTGAGCAAGGCAGCAACAATTTTGTTTTTTGTTTGGGGGCCACCCCAGATGGTGCTTGGGGGATTGTGCGGGGTGCTGGGGATGGAATCCCGGCTCCTACCTTCCAAGGGAGTGTGTCACAGGGACAAAGATAGGACAGGGGAGAGGGCGTTTGCCTTGAATGCGGCTCATTGGGGTTCGGATCCCATATGGTCCCCAAGTATCACCAGGGTTAATTACAGAGTGTAGAGCCAGGAGTAAGTCCTGAGCATTGCCAAGTATTACCCAAAAAGCAGAAAAATAAAAAGGAGCATGTCTGTCTAGGCAGTGATCAATGATTTCTTGAGAGAAGATTCTCCCCCACCCCCATTTTTTTCTTTTAACGTTTATTTGCCACACACGGTGGTATGCAGGGCTGACTCGACTCTTCCCTGGGGTCATTCCTGGCGGGACTCCTGTAGCAGTGGACAGCTCCATCTTCTGGATGGGGAGTGAGTACCCCATCCAGCGCGCCCTGTGTCTCCCCAATTTTGTACACTCTGACCTAATCAGGATCTCGCTCTGCACCAGCACACCAAGCTCAACCTCATTTATGGAATGATTGCAAAAGATTCCGGGTCAGCTGGTGAGGACGCTGAGCATTCCCCCACGCGGGGCCCTACCGCACCCTCCCTGCCCCACTCATGACTGAGCAGATGTTCCCACTGCCCCAGGGCCCAGAGTACCTGCACCAGGTTAGGTATGCGTACTTGTAGGCCTTTGCTGGGGGGGAGGGGCCCAAGTTTGATCCCTAGCAACACAGGGCACCGAGCACCTGAAGGTGTGGATCAGAAATGGAGGCCAGAGGCTGGAGCAATAGCACAGTGGATAGGGCGTTTGCCTTGCACACAGCCGACCCAGGTTCGATTCCCAGCATCCCACTGCCAAGAGTAATTCCTGAGTGCAGAGCCAGGAGTAACCCCTGTGCATCACCGGGTGTGACCAAAAAAGAAAAAAAAAAAATGGATGCCTGGGCCAGAGAGATAATCCAGTGGGAAGGGTGTCTACCTTGCCTGCAGCCCACCCAGGTTCAATCCCAGCAGCCCATATGGTCCCCTGAGCACCGCCAGGAGTGATCATGAGCACAGAGCCAGGAATTACCTCTGAGCATTGCCACATGTAGCCCTCCAAAAAAGGGGTGGGGGGCAGAGAGATAGTACAGTGGGGAGGGCATCTGCCTTGAACACAGCCCACCGGACCGGATTTGATCCCCTGCTCTGCCAGGTCCTCTGAGCCCCACCAGGAGTGGCCCAGGAGCACAGAGCCAGGAGTAAGCACAGCCAGGTGTGGCCTAACTGCCCCTGTCCCCCCAAAAAAGATATTAAGGCGCTATGCTAGGGCTGAAGATGTTGATCTGCACATAGGAAACTCTGGGGTTCCTGTCAGCTGGAGATAGTACACTAATGAGGCTACCTGTCTGGATCCTGGCACCGTGTGGCTCTGGGCGCCTTTCCCCGCAGCATCCCCAGGCCCTGGCACTGAACTACTGGCCCAACTGGCTGAAAAATGTCTCCTGAGCACTGCTTGGAAGGTGAAGAATGAGGGAAAAAAATTCCTGAGTCGCATCACCAGTACCAAATTGTTTTTCTTGTTTTCTTTTGTTTGGGGACCACACCTGGTGGTGCTCAGGGCTTCTTCCTGGTTCTGTGCTCAGGGATCCCTCCTGGTGGTGCTTGGAGGACCATTTGGGGTGTTGGGGGTGGAATTTGGGTCGATCTCGTGCAAGGCAAGCGCCCTGACTACTGGACTATCACTCCACCGAGCATTCAAATTTTCAGAAAAGACCCTACTGATGGATGCAGAAACTGAGGCACTGAGCACGGCTGTGCCTGGAGCAGGGTCACCAAGCAGGGAGAAGGGAGAAACAGGGAGGTCGAGGGGCTGGGAAGGGGCCTCTCACCTCCAGGCCAAGATGAGGGTGCAGTCGGCCAGGATGCACATCTTGGCCAGTTCCTTGAGGGCCTGTTGCGGATCTTTCTGCAAGAGGAAACTCAGGCTGAGAGACATGGGCAGAGCCAGCCCAAATGTTTGACGATTAATACTGCCAAGGCTTCCAAATATTGCCGAGGCTTCCAGGAAGCCCAGACTCTGCAGCCAGGAAACAGTCCACACCCTGCCCTTCTGGGGTCCAGAGTCTGCAGGGGACACGCCCACCCAGAGTGAAGACCCAGAGTGGTCAAGGTAGGGGAGTTGGAGGAAGAGATGGAAAATCAGGGAGAACTTCCTGGAGGAAGGGCCAACTGCATGGGGCCCAGAGATTACGAGGAGGTGTGCAGGAGGCCAAGGAGAGCAGAGTGGGGGATTCCAGACATGTGCAAAGAGGGGAAAGTGTCATTCAGTGAAGAGCAGATGCATAAGGAGAAGCCTGGGGAGGGGTGTGGTAACCCAAGCCCAAACAGACCCCAGGATCTGCTTTAAGGAGGCTCTCAGGTGGGTGGTTAGGGTGGAGGAGATAGATGCCTGTGTCCCTGCCCATGGAGCCACGGTCCCCGGTGGCAGGGTGGAGGGGGGGTCCACCCTCTGGGCTTCCACAGGGGCTGAGCCGTACCCACCCCTAGCAGCCTGTGGCCTCACGCACCCATTTCCCAGATGAGGTTGCCGAGGCCTGCTTACCACATCCACCTGCACCAGCAGGACCCGCAGCGCGAAGTTCTTGCCCAGGCTCTGCAGCCGCTCATGGATGTAGTCAGGGTGCAGATTGTGGTAGCGGAGGCTGGGGAGCAGGGAGCAGAGGGAAGGAGGGTCAGTGTCCTGTGTCCTGGAGAGTCCAGCAGCCTATCTTTGTGGGAACCCGGTGGGGCTCGGGTAGCACAAGCCACAGTCTGGCCCAGAGATCAGAAAGGTTAAGACACTGGCCCAAGGTTCCGGGGAGATAATACAGTGGGGAAGGCACTTGCCTTGCACACAGCTGACCCAGGTTCAATCCTGGGCATCCTATAGGGTCCCCCAAGCCCTGCCAGGAGTGCAGAGCCAGGATAAGCCCTGAGCATCGCTGAATGTGCTCCCCACCTCAAGAAAAAAGAACACTATTCCTCCTCAACTCCAATCCTGGACATCTGAGACAGAAATGGCTTAGTCATCCTCCTCCCTCAGACCCAGGAGTCATCCCCAGCCTCCTCCCTCAGACCCAGGAGTCCATCCCCAGCCTCCTCCCTCAGACCAGGGTCCATGCCCAGCCTCCTCCCTCAGACCCAGGAGTCCATCCCCAGCCTCTTCCTTCAGACCCAGGAGTCCATCCCCAGCCTCCTCCCTCAGACCCAGGAGTCCATCCCCAGCCTCCTCCCTCAGACCAGGGTCCATCCCCAGACTCCTCCCTCAGACCCAGGAGTCCATCCCCAGCCTCCTCCCTCAGACCTGGGAGTCTCCCTCAGACCAGGGTCCATCCCCAGCCTCCTCCCTCAGACCTGGGAGTCTAACCCTTGGCTTCTGTTGTTGTGGGGTCGCAGGGGGAGCCCGCTCACCTGAGGAAGAGAGCACAGGTGCTCTGGCCCAGCACGTAGTCAGGGAGCACCTCTCCAAATTCCCAGGGCACATTGCGCACGAACTGCAGCACGGGGTTGCCCCGCTGTGCAGGGCAGAGGGGCAGAGCCATGACCCAGGCTGACCTGGGCCGAGCCGCCCGGTGACCCCTGCCCACCCCCCACCTCTTGCTGGCCCCGAGTCCCCTCTGGTTCCACACCCTCCCCTTGTCCTGGAAGGACCCAGGTACCCCTCCCCGAAGCCTGAGCTTCGGAGAGTCCTCAGTATCACACATGTCGAAAGTATCCGGCAGCCCCTCCAAAACCTCCTACCCCCTAAACCAAGGCTGTGCCCCTGCAAAAGGCCCTGGGACACAGGGCACGCACCTCACAAACAGAGCCACGCCCCCAGGAGCGATGGGGTGCTCTGCACTGCATGTTTACGCCCCATCCCTGTGCTGAGGGTCTGACGGGGGGCGGGGGGGGAGCCGACAAGCCGACTTGAGGTTGGGGGACTCACAGAGGTGCACATCTGCCAGCAGCTGGACTTCCCGAGCCCCAGAACTGAGTGGGTAACAATCCCCGAACCCCCTTCGAGCCTCACCTGCCGGGGGCTCACGATGATGCTGCCGGATTTGGCGGCAGGTTTGGGTGCCTGGTTGGGGGGCTCTGCCGTGGGGAGTTCGGGGGCCGCGGGCAGCCGTGGGGGCACAGGTGCTCCGGAGGGTACAGGTGCTCCGGGGGGCACCGAGAGGGCATACTCAGCGTAGCTCAGGGAGGCTGGCACAGGCGAGGGGTCTGTGCTGGGAAGGTTCCGGGTGGATTTGAACAAGGGCTTGGCCTGGGCAGAGACACACGACAGGGCAGCGGGTAGGGTGCTTGCCAGGCACGTGGCTAACCCAGGTGCCATCCCTGGCACCACAGAGGGTTCCCCCAGCACCGCCAGGAGTCTTTCTTGTCTTTTTTTTTTTGGGGGGGGGGTGTCACACACCTGGCGTTTCTCAGGACTTACTCCTGGCTTTGCGCTCAAGAATCACTCCTGGCGGTGCTGAGGGGGACCATATGGGATGCTGGGGATCGAACCCAGGTCAGCCTCATTCAAGGCAGATGCTCTACCTGCTGTTCTACAGATCTGGCCACCGGAGGTCACTTCCAAACAGAGCCAGGGTCAACCCTTGAGCACCTCTAGGTGTAGCCCAACAATCCTGCCCTTCCCCACAAAAAAATGTCCCTTGCTCCCTGCCTCAGGGTCCTCCTCTGCCAACCTGCCCAGCCAGCCTCTACTCACCCCTGCTCCCCAGCTATTTTCCTGGCCCCGCCTTCCTGTCCTCTCCCTGATAGCACGTCCTCCCTCTCTCCCTCCCCACTTTCACATCTCCACTGCAACGTCACCTCCTCAAGAGGCCCTCCCTGATGACCTCCCTAGGAAGGCTGCACCTGTGCCCTCACACCCTCTGACCCTGGCCCACTTTCTCTTGCATCATATATTGCTCAAAGACAGGGACAGGACATGTGCTCAGGCATGTGTCATCGGGCGAGGTCCTTATCATGTGAGTGTCAACCAATGTGACACCATCCATGAGGTGATAGGGGGGAAGCTCCCTGTAGAGCTGCTTTTGGAGGCAGTGCACAGGGGGCTGTGTAGGCAGAACAGGCACTCAGCTTCTTAAATTTGGGGTTGTGAGCCCATAGGGGGTCGGCAAGCTGGATGTGGGGGTAGTGAAAAACTGGTCTCAAATCTCTGACAATAACTCGATCATTGTATGACTGAAACGTAAACACGAAAGTTTGTAAGTCTGTAACTGTACCTCACAGTGATTCATTAAAATAAATAAATAAATAAATAAATCTGACAATAAATATCTGATCTATATACCTACTTGACACACCTATATTTGGGTTTCAGAAAAGGGTTGTGATGAGTAGAAGTTTAAGCAAACTCAGAGCTTGCTCCTAGTTCTGTGCTCAGGGATCACTCCTGGGGGGCTCAGGGGTACGGGGGAGGGGGGACGGGAGATAATACAGCAGGGAGGGCATTTGTTTTGCATATGGCCAATGTGGTTTCAATCCCTGGCATCCCATAAGGTCCCCCGAGCACTGCCAGGAGTGATCCCTGATCATTGCCAGGTGTGGTCACCAAACAAAACAAACCAATAAAAGATTGTCCTGAGCACCAGCCTCTCATTCCCTGTGGGAAGGGGCTCTCCGAGTTGCCAGATTCTTGACTTTTGATTAGAAGACGCCCTGGTACAGGCTTTTTTGTTCTAATTGCAAAACTTTCCACTTCTCCAATGTCAGCCATACATGGATGCCCTGTGAAACGAGAGTGCTGGGCACAGAAGACTCATCTGGGATGCGGAACAGAGCACAGTGAGCAGGTCACTTGTGCTTAGGAATCACTGAGCCCGTACTCCTGCAAGCTCGAGTAGGCACTGCATATGATCCCCTTGAGCATCACCAAGTGAGGCCCCCGAACAAAATTAAAGCACATCCAGGGCCTCTGCCAGGCTGCCAGTCCCTCCCCTGCCTTGGGCCTCTTTTAGCACCACCAGGATGTGCTCCAGATGGGGAAACTGACACAACCGTCCCCTCAAGACCACCCAGGCCCCAACATAGCCAGACCCACACTGGGATCCCACAGAGCCCTTCCAACAACCCACCTCCTGTTCCCAGGGGCACCCCCTCTCCTCGGCCTACCCTGGCCGGAGGGATCTCTTCCTCATCCAGGGGAATGATGAACTTCTTCCTGGGGGACGGCCCTGGGGGTGGCTGCACACTCTCCTCATCCATCCCTAGATCTTTCAGGGGCCTGAAAAATGAAAAGGTGTTGGCAGGATGGAGTGAGACACCTACATCTGCATTCCCAATGATGGCCATTTCCCCGCACCCCCATCAGAAAAACTCCAAGGTTCCGGTTCTAAAGAACCAACACTTTGGAGACCCAAGTGACAGTACAGTACAGCGGCGAGGGCATTTGCCTTGCACGTGGCTCACCCGGGTTCTATCCCCGGCCCCATGAGCACAGAGCCAGGAGTGATCCCGGAGCATAACAAGCTCTGAGCACCGCTGGGTGTGGTCCAAAAAGCCAATAACAATAATAATAACAACAATGATGACGATGATGATGATAAACACCAATACCCCAAGTTTCAGCACGGGACTCATCCCGCCCCTCCAGCCCCACTTTCTTTGGCCCCGCCCCGCCTTCCGTTGGCTTCCCCTCGCACCTCGATGGTCTCCCCTCGTTAAGTCACTGCACCGACGGTCTCAGTGGAGCGGGAACTCACCTCCCTGTCCCCCGCGCTACCAGGAAAAATAACACACAAGGAATCGAGGCGTTTTCACCTCCGAGGCGGCCAGCACGGCCCTGGGCCCGCCGCACTTCCGGCCCCTCTAGCCGCCGACTTCTCTCTCGCCGTTCCCCGGAGGGGGTGGAGCATCGGGAGGGGCGGCCCCCTTGTTGCTTTCTATGGTCCTGGAGGACTGTGTCGGTTTGGACTCCAAACCCTTTAATTCCTAGGACTGTGTTTCGGGAGCGCGTTTTATCCGCCCGGGTTTCGGGCGAGACTCCGCGCCCGAGAAGTTGCTGGACACTAAACAAGACCCCTTTTTCTCTCTACTGGCTTGGCTTGGAATTCCAGATCGGCCACTGATTCCGCCTCAGACTCCCAATTCATTCTTTTTTTTTTTTTCTCACAATTTTCCTTCCTGTTCCCGGGACTGTGTTAGCCAGTGGTGACCAATCGTAACCTCGCGCCGTCCTCCTGAACCTCACAATACAGGTGGAGGAACAGCCCGGTTCCCTTGCAGTGCCAACCCCGAGTGGGCAGGGAGAGGCCAGGGTGGGGGTGGAGGGGAACGAGCCCAGCCCCAGGGCTCTCTCACTAAAGGAAGGGACATCTGAGCAGAGTCCGGGCTGATGAGTTAGTGTTAGTCATTTCCTGCAGGGCTGGTATCACACTGTTCTAAGCGGCAGCTCGCGGCGATTACTAAGGAGAGAAAACATTCTCATGACTTTATTGGTCTGATAGATTTTGTCTTAGGTGACGGGCTTGCTCATATCCTCTGCTCATTTTTCTCATGCGGTTTGTAGGCCTTTGTTTATTGCTATTAATTTGTAGGAGTACTTGTGGATTCCGATTCTCATTCTTAGTCAGTTGTATATATTCCAAATATTTCCTCCTAGTGTGGAGTTCTAGTTTGACTTTATTTGTTTATCCTGTTCCCAGTTGTACTATTCCACCTTCCTCATATACCAAATTTCCATACACACAGGTCTATTTAGGATTATTTTGAGCGTTGCCTTGATCTCTATGTTCCTGGTCTCCATGCCATACTGTTTATTTTTATTTGTTTTGATCTCCACTGGGAAAATTCCTCCCTCTTAGCTTCAAACAGTCCAACCATTCTTGTGACCATTTTCTCTTTTGGAAGAATCTTTTGCACCTGCTTTCTTAGTTTCCATGAAAAACCTTTTTGGGGAGCAGGGGCTATGATTGAAAGGGTAGTATTTATGTTTAGTATATATATTTGAGGTGCAGAACCAGACCCCTGAGACCACAGCCTCTCACCACCTCCTGCTCCCCCCCCCCGGAAGTCCTATGAAGTTTTTGAAAATTTTAAAAAAAGAAAAAAAAACTCTTGGAATGGGACAGAGGAAGTAGTGCAGGGGTTAATTTCCTTGCATCCCCCTGATCCTGGTTCCATCTTGGGCATCAAATATGGTCCCTGAGCATCACCAGGGGTCACTCCTGAGCACAGAACCAGAAGTAGCCCCTAACTCCCTAAAATGTGGCCCCCAAACAAAAAAGATTCCTGTTGGGATTAAGACGGGAATTCCATATAAAGTAACGGAATGGGAGACTAACACCCAAGGATAGTAGAGATAAGGATCAGGAGGATTGCTTCATGGCTTGGAAGCCGGCCTCACATGCTGGGGGGAAAGGCAGCTCAGATAGAGAAGGGACCACCAAGTAAAGGATGCTTGGAGGGCCCGCCCAGGATGGGAGATGAGTGCTGAAAGTAGACTATAGACTAAGCATGATGGCCACTTAATACCTGTATCATAAGCCATAATACCCAAAAGGAGAGAGAGAGAGAATAAAAGGGAATGCACCTGCCCCCAGAGGCTGGGGGGTGGGGGTGGGAGGGATACTGAGAACATTGGTGGTGGAGAATGGGCACTGGTGGAGGGATGAGTCCTGATCATTGTATGACTGTAACTGTAATGTAAGCACGAAAGTCTGTAAGTCTGTAACTGTACCTCATGGTGATTCATTAAAAAAGTATAAATAAATAAGTAAAATAAAAGACAGGAATTCCATTGAATTGGTATTTCCATTCCAGGAAGATGAACATCTTGTTCATATCCATAAAGATGTCCTGTGGCCTGGCTCTGCCTTTTATTACTGGAAAGTATTTTGGAGGAATTTTTAAAAAATCAAATCACAGGGGCTGGAGAGGTACCACAGCGGGTAGGGCATTTGCCTTGCACGTAGTCAACCTGGGTTTGATTCCCAGCATCCCATATGGTCCCCAAGCACCGCCAGGAATAATTCCTGAGTGCAAAACCAGGAGTAACCCCTGTTCATCGCCAGGTATGACCCAAAAAGCAAAAAAAAAAATTGAATCACAGGGGGCTGGAGCGATAGCACAGCGGGTAGGGTGTTTGTTTTGCTCGCGTAAGTCCCAGGTTTGATTCTCAAGCACCACCAGTAGTAATTCCTGAGTGCAGAGCCAGGAGTAAGCCCTGTGTATAGCAGGGTGTCACCCAAAAAGGAAAAAAAAAATTGAATCACAGTAAGATACAGTTACAAAGTTGCTCATGATTGTATTTCAGTCATACAATGTTCCAACACCAGTCCCTTCCCCAGTGTACATTTACCACCACCAATGTCCCCAGCTTCCCTCCTACTACCCCCATCCCTGAATCTATGGCAGGCGTTTTTTTTCTCTGCCTGTCTGTCCATGTCTGTCTGTCTGACTCTCTCTCTCTCTCTCTGCATTATGGTTTGCAATACAGATACCAAAAGGTTATTATGAATATCCCTTCACCTACTCTCAACACTCGGTCCTTTACCTACTCTCAACACTCGGTTCTTGTCCAGAGTATCATTTCCAACTATTATTATCATAGTGTCCCTTCTCTATCCGAATTCCCCTCCGCCCCCCACACACTTGTGGCAGCTTCCAGTCAGTCCCCCCTGGGGCGGGGGAATTCTTCATTATACAATCAGTCCAAAGAGATGGAACAAGGTGTACTCCTAGTCTCACAATCACCCTCCCCGGGGGTTGGGGTCAATATGTCACTAGACAGCGGCGGGAGCTAAGGTCCCAGAGACACAGAGCGAGGGACCGAGGGACCGGTGTGGGGGTCCCGGGGCCGGTGTGGATGACTTGGCGCCCAAGCCTGCAAGTCGGTCTTTCTCCGCCAGGGGGCGGTCGCTCCCCACGGGAAACTTCGGGATGTCCGTGGCGCGAGCGCCTCTTGCAGAACTCTGGGCGCGTGAGACCCCTGCAGGTGGCCCCCTCGGGATTCCTTTGCTTCCCCCGGCTCGGTTCAGTGCCCCCGCAGCCCCAAAGACCCCGCCGCGGCCGACGGATACTGAGCCTTAGTCGGGAGGTGGGCCCGGGTGGGGGCGGGGTCTGCCCTCCGTCCCGCAGTGCGGTTTTATTTTCCCCAAGTTTTATTCCCAACTCCACTTCAACTTTCCGACCCCCAGATCCCTCCCTGCTCCCGGGGGGAGGGGGGCGTGGGAGGTTGGGGGTTCGACTCTCTACGCCAGTCTTCCCGGAGGCGCCCGAGTTCAGGGCCCCGCTGCAGCTCTGCGGCCACGGGGGACCCCTGGTTCCAGCCCCACCGCAACCCCGAATCTCAGCCTCGGGGGTCCCAAGTTGTCCGGGGCGCGGGGCGGGCGAGGAGGGTGAGCTTGGGGTCCCCCGCCCCTCGCTCTGCCGCGGGTGAGCGAGGCTCTGGGCGGCGGGGAGCCGGCTGGAAGGCTCTGGAAACGGGGCGCCGCAGTGCCCGGCCGGTGTCCCCACCCGCCTCTAAACTTAGCCGCGGTGACGCGTGGCGCGGCGGCCGCTGCGGGGCCGGGACGCGGGGGGGCCCGGGCGCAGGGGGGGCGGCTCCGCTGGGCGAGCCTCTATTTATAGCGCCCCGGGCCCGAAATAGAGCGGATCCGAGCGGCCGGGATGACGCGGGAGGCGCGGGGGCTGACTCACCCGGCCCCGAGCGGCGGCCCCCGGATGGATGGGGGCCCCGGAGGCTCCCTGCCCGCCGGCCCGAACCCGCGCCCTGCCTCGGGCTCGAGTTCCCTCCGGGCTCCGGGCCGCGGCGGCCGCAGGAGGCTGCGGCCGGATCAGAGGTGGGACTGCCCCCAACTCCCCCCCCACCCCTCCCCCGCGCCGACAACTAACTTTCTAGAAGAGGGGAGAGGGCGGGTAGCCAGATGGAGGGGTTCTGGGGGCTAAGGTGTGGTCACAGTACTTCGTCCCACCTCCTGTGTGGGGTCCCATTCTTTAAATTAGCTTTTGTTATTATTTTATCATTATTATTATTAATAATAAAGAATGCCTGAGAGATAGTGCTACCGATAGGGTACTTGCCTTTCATGTAACCAACCTGGGTTCCATCCCTGGCATCCCATATGGTCCCCTGAGCCCCACCAGGAGCGACCCTGAGGGCAGAGCCAGGAGTAAGCACAGCCCCCCACGTGGCCCCCAATCAAACAAAACCAAGAACTAAATACAAAATTCTTTTTTTCCTTTTTTTTTTCCATTTTTTTGGGTTACAACGGGTGTTGCTCAGGGGTTACTCCTGGCTCTGCACTCAGGAATCACTCCTGCAGGGGCTCAGGGGACCATACGGGATACCGGGGATTGAACCCGGGTCAGCCGCATGCAAGGCAAATGCCCTACCCGCTGTACTATCGCTCCAGCCCCACAAAATTCTTTTATTATTGTTTTAGTTTATGGGGGGCACACTGGTGCTCAAGGATTCCTCCTGGTCCTGTGCTCAGGGATGACTCCTGGCCGGACTCAGGGAACCCCGTGAGTTATCAGGTATTGATCCAGACAGCACCTGCATCCTGGATCCATCCCTAGAACAGCATTTTTATGGGCATCTGTCCTGCACATGGGTCCGCAGATGGGGGATCCTCACCAGGCCACAACCCAGTGGAGTTCAACCTTCCTACACTCGCGGTCGGCACCGTCCTGGCTCAGCACATGAAGACCACCACAGAAATCCTGCTTGGGGGCCGAGACGATAGTACAGTGGGGTAGGGGTTTACCTTGCACGGACCCTGCTTCGATCCCCAGCATCCCATATGGTTCCCCGACCACCACCAGGAATAATTAATTTCTGAGTGAGAACTAGG